ACATGGCCGCTCTCACTCCAAGCGCTCTATGTCTTTGGCATGGCGCTTTCCACATAGTGCACGGCTTGACTCTACTCATGCGGGCTTGCCATTGGATGCATGCGACGTGCCAGCAGCCACGTCAAATCACTCACATCCAGCTTTCCTGCTTGTCGTAGAAGACGTCTTCGTTTCCTTTCCTGCAGGCTATGGAGTACATGTCTTTCAACATGGGTTCAGCGTTCACATGTCCCACCTGCACTCACGAAAAGACACCGTATCCATGCATTTACATGCACTCTCCTGGTTCTGTAGTTCTTTGGTGGCTGCTGCTAACTGGCGTTTCAAATTTTTGCGCTCTTCCTTCAGCACAGCAACCCTATCAGCCGCGGCCGGTGGGGCTGCAGCTGCCGCGGCGTTTGCATCAGCAGCGGACATGGCACTCAAGGCGGGCGAACAACAGGCTTGCTCCACTCAAACTGCATGCAGTCCTCAAGATGATCCTGTGTTCTCTTTGTGCTTGCCTGGTACCTCCTTTTCACCCCTGTTCACGACCCCAGAAACATGGCTACGAGAATGTGACAAAATGGTCATGCACCGATGTACCCTGATAGTATGTCTGCCAATGTGTGCTCTGCCGCGCAATTTTTCTCCCGGCTCGCACCTCGTCACAACAGAGCCGTGTACGCGTACGCCATACGGCGTCGCTCAGGCCAGATGCTTTGCATGGCTTCTTTAGAGGGCTTGCTGCCTGGAGGCATATGCAGTGGCATATCCATAAATTTTCGCAACTCCGTATGGAGGTGCGCCGTATCGGGCGGCTTCGCCGCACCAACAGATTCAAAAGTGCGTTTCCAACTCTTGCCGGCAAAGTAGCTGGGACACTGCATGAGTTCAAAAAGCCAGGCTAACGGGTCTATCAAACCCTCACAGGAACCTGCCCTCAGTTCCTGGTACTTCCTCTTCAAATGTGTTTTCAATGGGTGGAAACCTGCTATATCTAACGGTTGGATTTTGTCTGTACATCCGGCTGGTATGTACAGGAGCTGGACACCATTGCGCCGAGCGCACACCATGGTTTCCTTTGCGAGATGTGAGGACGCAACATCCAGCAACAAGATAGGTTGAAATGGATAAGGTTTTAAGACTTTGCCTAGATCGCGCACAATCTTGGTGATGTTCTTGCAGGATGTCCAAGCACTTTTCTGACGTACTATGTGCAGCGCCGTTTGTGGCAAGCGCCGCTGGCCCCTCAGCAACTTCTGTGTCAGCTTGGTCTCAGTCCCAAAAAGGTAGTGCGGCAACTTGCCTTGAATATGCGGCGCATCACAAATGATGCTCACATAGGTCAAAGCCCCTCGCACGTCTTGTTTCCGGACAGGCATGCGAAGACTGGCATGTCGTGGCAAAGCAACGCAGCCGGGCAATTGCAGCATGGTGTAGGGAATGCTAGTTTCGTCTAAATTCAAAAACAGCGGAGTCTTGTCCACAAACTTCGTGTTCACGTAGTAGGAGAGTAACTGCCAAAAGGTTCTCACCTGACAGGGCGAAGCCGAGCAGGGAGGCTAGGAAAACATGACCACATGTGGGAGGAGGTCCGAATTGCAATGAGCTTGCCCGGCCCCATTTTTGGAGCCGGAAAACGGTCGCAAAAACACGACCGTGCTTGGCGCCTTAGCCTGCACCGTGACTGGGTCCCTGTGCACTTGTGGACGTAGGACTCGGCGCCGCAGGTTCCACTTGGCTCGGAAGCGCTGCACCCATTGATTCACATGCCGGCGAGGCGGCAAACCCTCCAGGAGGCTGCCAAACCGCGCTTTCTCCCACGTGGCATAGACATCCAGCGATAGCGGTGCTACACCGACGTGGTTGCAAGCCAGAACCCAGTTGAAAGTGTTAGCCTCTGCCAGAAAAGCGGCTGCATGCCGCACTGGCCGTGCCCACGGAGTCGCGGAAGGTGAAAAAATGTGCTGCAAGTCTAAGTCTGTGGTGCTCAAAAACAAATCTTCCACCACAACCCGTGTTGTCCCTGAGGTCGGCTTGACTGCTGGCCACAGGGCAGCGAAGCGAAGCGCTAGCTCCATATTGCAGTCCGACAACACATAGACGGCAACGATCGCTTTGCAAGCAAGAGGGCTAAAACCTCCAGAGGCTGCTTCCTTCTTTGCTCGGTATCTGGCATGCTTGGCTTGCACTCCGGCCGCTCTGTTTCTGGCAAGGTCTGCTTGCAAAGTTGCAATGGTTTCTGCTAAAGCCACTGGAGTCGCCGCAGGTGCGTGAGCCATGGGGCAAGGCTGCGGCCACCTGGGTGCTGTCTTGGATGTCTTTGCATGGAAGCCTATACCCTTCTGTTGCTGGGCTGTGACTCTGTGGCATATGAATGCGAAAAATTGGTGCTGTTACAGCCATGTCCTGTGACTCATGTGGCGCTGGATCCACACCGAAGGCCCGACAGAGCTGCTGCATGCAATCTGTGAGTGATGGCTGAGCGGCGGCTGCAACAGATTCTCCATGCTGACCTAAACACAACCTCCTGGACTGCAACTCCTAGAAGGAACCCTTGCAACTCTGAGAAACAATGCACGTGCAGCATGCACCCACATGGCAGAAGCACATTGAGGGTTCAAGCAGCTGTAGACCCAAATCTCCCCCGCAGGCGGTTTCACAAACCTAACCCAAGCCATGCCTTTCTCTACCCCATGCAGGCTGTTACTCCAAATGATAACACGGGCCGGTAAGCTGCACCAAATGCTGATTCTCGCGAATCCATGGTTCGTCATCATCCCAGTCAGTTGATTCATCTATGGTGATCACAATGGGGACCCTGAATAAATAAACCTGATATGAGAATATGTTCGTCTGTGACTGGCCTAAGCGATGAAAGTCTGGGTTTGCCTGAAATAAGGCCCGCTGAGATAGCACAAAGGACATAGAATTGCAATTGTCGAACAGGATAAAGCCGTGAGAATCTCTGTCGTAATGTTGTAACTCAGCGGCCGTGGCACCCTGGACAGTTTGAATGAAAGGAGGCTTCTGGATATACGTAGGCAAAACGAAATGGAGGCATTTTGCCAAGGTGCTTTTGCCAGCGCGCGAAGGCGCCCGGAGCACAAGAAATTTGTACCGAGAATCTAAAATGGAATACTGTTTGGCCCAGTCTTCGACTCGGGCAACCACTTCTGGCAAAAATGGCTTTTGCAATGGCTGGAGCTGAGCCACCACTTCGGCCTGCTCACGTCGGAGGCGACTTTCGCTCTCCTGCTGCATGACTGCTTCCACAGCGCGTTTGCGGGTGATATAGCCCAAGCGCACCTGCAACCTGCTGCACACGGTGTTGACACTTTTATAGTGATAATTCTGGAGACATTGGCCCTCTTTCTGAAAATGCATCTATAGAATCAGAGACCCCAAGGTATTTTCAAGTTGACAATCTCTTTAGAATCGCTGCCCCCAAGTCACTCTCGTAGAGCCGTTTTTTGGTTGGGGGGGTTAGTTGGCCTTCTATAAAATCAGGCTCCCCAAGTGTCATTCATTGACAGCTGACCTGAATGCTCCAGTTGCTCTTGCCTACCTTACCTTATGCATTCCCAATTTTATAGAGCTCAAAGGCTCCAAGTCTTCACTGTCAACCTCTTCGATTATATACAAGGATGATCAATGATGATGAACGAATTGTTGTGGGAAATTTGTTCTGCCAATACTTCTCTATAGAATTGAAGAACATGACATACACCCAAAGAGAACAGATCCAACTATAGAATCGCAGTGGCTAAGGCTTTCTGCTGACTAGGACTCAGTGCTGTATTCAACATGAAATCGCGACAGTACGCAATTACTATAGGCGGGACCGCAGCGGGACCGCGGCGGGACCGCAAAATGTGGGAATTCCCACGATTCCAGGTTGCAGGCGGGACCGGTCCCGCCGTCGGCGGGACCACTTTACCTGTGAATTTATAGGAGCGGGACCGCATACCCCGTTTGGGAATTATAATAATATACCAGGGGGGGTCAGGTGATGTTTTGGAGGTGGGGTGTGGGAAGATTCTTGGGGAGGTGATGTTTTGGAGGTGGGGTGTGGGAAGATTCTTGGGGAGATATCTTGTCTATCTAGCGTTGTATCCCTGGATGTCTTCTAAATGGGGTCTCTGGACCGCGCATGTCTTCCAAGCGCTTTGTCTTCGACATGGCGCTTGCAAGTCTGCGGTTTCCAGCTTTCACTCCTGCCGCGCTATGCCTTTGGCATTGGGATTTTCAGCCTTGACATGGTCTCATTCCAAGCGCTCTATGTCTTGACCATGGCGCTTGCAAGTCTGCGGTTGCCAGCTTTCCCTCCTAGTGTCCATGCCTTTGGCATGGTGCTTTCGAACCTTCACATGGCCGCTCTCACTCCAAGCGCTCTATGTCTTTGGCATGGCGCTTTCCACATAGTGCACGGCTTGACTCTACTCATGCGGGCTTGCCATTGGATGCATGCGACGTGCCAGCAGCCACGTCAAATCACTCACATCCAGCTTTCCTGCTTGTCGTAGAAGACGTCTTCGTTTCCTTTCCTGCAGGCTATGGAGTACATGTCTTTCAACATGGGTTCAGCGTTCACATGTCCCACCTGCACTCACGAAAAGACACCGTATCCATGCATTTACATGCACTCTCCTGGTTCTGTAGTTCTTTGGTGGCTGCTGCTAACTGGCGTTTCAAATTTTTGCGCTCTTCCTTCAGCACAGCAACCCTATCAGCCGCGGCCGGTGGGGCTGCAGCTGCCGCGGCGTTTGCATCAGCAGCGGACATGGCACTCAAGGCGGGCGAACAACAGGCTTGCTCCACTCAAACTGCATGCAGTCCTCAAGATGATCCTGTGTTCTCTTTGTGCTTGCCTGGTACCTCCTTTTCACCCCTGTTCACGACCCCAGAAACATGGCTACGAGAATGTGACAAAATGGTCATGCACCGATGTACCCTGATAGTATATAGTTTTCTGTAAAGATCTGAATCTCTACACTTCAAAAAATGCGCCAGAGCCCAGGCGGTTTCCGCTACGTCTACCGCGGAGTCTACACCTCTGGCCCACGCCAGGGAGAGGAATGCGCCTCTCGACATGGCCTGTGGGATTTCATGGGATTAATAGGAGAATCAAACATGGTTGGCTGGAAACAATGCCCCATACATGGGCATTTTAAAAGAAAAACATGGAACATTATGGAGCTAAATGGTGTCTTTTCCACTGCCATGTTTGATTTCCAGAGGGTAAGTCACTTGGGAAAGATACTGTTAAGAGAATGGCAGTGTTGTGTTTAACTATGTGTTTTTCTACATTTACCCTACAGTGTTTGGGGTTGTTTTATGTGGTCTAAACACCTCAGATGGATCTTCAAGCCCACAGGACATTTGAATTGTGTTGGTATCACCTAAGAATAACTTCTTTGCAATGCAGCTAATCTTAGCCATGGTTTTGTACACCAGTAGACAAGGAAATATGGGTGTTTGCTAGTTGTTGTGCATTTTATGTAGGTTCACTCATGTTCACTCCAATATTTTATCTAGAATATGTTTCATCATCACGTTGGGCTTCCCTTTTTTGTAAATGCGAAATATTATGACATCCCAAATTTGGTTTGGTCATGTTTGGTCAATATCCTCTTCTGATTGGTTTTATTCGCATCTTCCTTGGTTATATCTGGGTTTTCAATCCACACCAACTGCCAAACAAGGATCTGGACGGCAAAAAGTGCTTGGGCAGATCTGATTCCAACATAAAGGCATTCGACACACCAAAAATGCGCTCGAAAAGACATGAGAAGACATGGTGGGTCAAAATTCTGTTCCAAAAATTGAATACTGAGGAATCTGACCAATCGGACTGGCCCCGAAACTAGGTCACTATGGTCACTCAACTGGATGGGTAGAAACTAATCATCCTTTAGTCTTGGATGGTATCGATGGGATTATCTACGTTCACCAGCTAAAAACATATTTTGTTTGCAGGGGATCTAAGATTGGCCATGAATAATTCAGGGTCCCAGTCGACCCCGGAACCAGCCGTTGTGCGGCCAAGTCCGGAGCCTCAGGTCATGAAGGAGTTCAAGTCCGGAGGTGTTCATGAAGAGCCTTGGTGCGGCGCCGGGAGGTCCTCACAACGATGTGGCACATGTGGCACATGATGGTGGTTTCCCCAGCTCCAAAATATCCCAAAATGGCTTTATGTCAGAGTATAGATTTCGGAATAAGTATAGTCATTGTCATGTTGCCAATGGTTTTATACAAAGATTCGTGACCCATTTCCAAATTGACAAATAGTCCATGTAGACTGAGGGATCACCCCTTGTCTAATCACTTGCATCAACATTAAAAACCCAAGAGCTTAAGTATGAAACACATGAATTTTGGAGAGACTACACCACTGGTACCCAGATAGGACCTAAAATATTCCCAGAATTACATGACTAATATGACTATGCGCATGTCTAGGAGTCATGTTCAGGGTAGGAAAGTTGCTTTGCCCTCAGTACTTAATGCCCCAAGGTAGAAAAATTGGAAACTTCGAAATTATGGAGGAAACATCGTCTGTTTCACAGCCTGGAAAAGACCTTTCGAAATCTTTTTGTAGGCTTGATGCCCCTTGAACCGGTTTCTGGTATTATTGACCTTAGCTCTCAAGAGCGTTTAGGCTAGATTCAGTTGATCTCCCTGTTGCAGTTTTGGCAAACCATGCAAATCCAACATGCAGGTATTGGTCAAAAAATGTCAAAAACTATCTTACAAGATGGGGCCCCCTAGATAGCCAAATTGGTTTATAACTCCAAGTATAAGTATCGTTTATGCTACTCGGACCTGGAATATCTTTCAACATATTTCAACCATAGTTAATGGGGTTTATAAACCAACTTAGAACTGGGGCCTCCTTTTGGTACCATATTTGGAGGAAGAACATCCATTTACGGTTGCCATCAACATGATTTGACCAGTTTCTTGTAGTTGTTTTTAAATCAACCACTTGTTTCCTTTAATGAGTCTATAAATTGTATAGCTGTAAGCATTCACCATGTTGTCCGATCAACTCCACGGTGTGTTCTTGTTTTACAAAACCAATGACTCTGATGACATGTCGATACTTTACCTTCTTTTGTATTTGTCGATAGGTCATCAGAGTCATTAGTTAGTATTTGACATTAGGTCAATTACCTATTGACAAGTCTATTTGTTTTACAATAGACCGTTACATTTTGACATGTCTGTTTGTCAGTTAGGTCATGAATGTTTCCTGCTTATCAAGCCCATCGGTGATGATCTCCACGGCTGTTCAAACTACCAGCCCCGTATACCACCGAAGATGGGGGATATACTTGGACCATTGGAGGATCATCTGACTTAGCAAATGGTTAATAAACATAGTAACATACTTAGAACCCCGTATCAGATCTTACAAGTGTCATACAGCATTTGATCTTTTCACCAACTTAGCTATCGTTTGGGATCCCCTCTTTGTTCCCATCTCAACTGTGTTATCAAGCCTTTACCAGCACTGCTTTATCAATCTTAGTCCGCGAAAAAGGATATCTTCTTCAAGGAAGACATCGAAGCGGTCAAGAAGGTGTGTGACATCGTGGCGTGACCCCGAAACCTGGTGATTTTCTAAGGAAAACATAGGGATTTACAGTAACCCGCAATGCACCAGGTTTAGCCTGTTTAGCAACGTGACAAAATTGCTAAATGATGATAATGATGGCTGCCTTATTGATTCCTACTCTACAAGATGGTGCCCCAGTTCGTTAGCCAAAGTGGTTTGCCAAAAAGACCTGAGAATTGGATTTATGCTCCATATATCGGTAGTTAGCTATTGTAGTGGTCAAACATACCACTCTTGATTGGTTCCAGTCTGTTTTTTTTCAGCAATCATAAGGTTATCCACTAACCAACAAGCAAAGGGTATTTGTTCTGGTTTATTGAGCATATTTCTGACCCACAAAAGGGATACACATTGACCGACATTCGTTTGTACTGCTCAGGTGGGTTTGAAATGTCCGGTGCCCCATTCTAAGGCATCGATAGGACATGATATTGATATAAGAGAACGGTCCCTCCTGTCCCACTGTGTGGAAATCAAACTCATAGAATGTTAAATGTGAATGTGTTTCTCTAGAGGCACAATGCAAAAATATGTAGATTCTTTCATTGCAATTGAAGCCATAGTAGTCATGTGGTCATGACTTGGTCCTTGCTGCGCGCATTCATCGACATGAATTCACCATATGGTGGTTTCCTAAAATTGGGGATACCCCCAAATCATCCATTCAAATAAGATGTCCCATTCTAAACCATCCAGCTATTGGGGTATCCCCACGTTCAGGACATTTCCATCCTCAAGCCAGTGTGGATTGCACATTGCGTTGCGGTGCTATTTCCGGCTCCACTGATTCCAACAGTCCCATCACCATGGAGTTTGTGACCCTGCGTTGCTGAGAAGGGGACCTTGCAGTTTTCTTGCAAGAAGAAAACATGGTCATCATTCCGGTTGGCACATTGGGACGGGCGAGTTTGTCATTGTTGCACATCGCAGACGTCGAGTCCTGCTCATCAAGCGTACAGACGATGTGCTTGGCGGCTATGATGCGCGAGCACATTGCAACGGCCTGAGACCTTGATGCTTTTGCTTGGTGCTAGCGGAGCAATTGATTGTGTGGAGATGGATGCAGGAATTGCGACGTGGTGTAGACCTTCAAACGTCTCTAAACATATATATATATATTGGATATACCAGTAGGTGTTTGTAGTGTGTATATATATATATATACATATTAGTTCCAAGTAGGCTTTATTGCTTTGGTAGGATTCTGAATCAGAAGGATCAATGGCTGCAGTGTTGTCCTTGTGTTTTGTCCCAGATGATCCTCCAAGGTTGGCCCAGCACCACACATTGACCCCCTGGACTTATGGAATCCAACGTCCAGTATTCAGAATGATGAATCCATAAATGATGTTGATTTATGCAGTTAAATCCCTACTTTTCCATCATGATCCATCTAATATTCCATGGGAAATCCATCCATGTATTGATCAAAGTTATTCAAAGTTGCCATTGACCGGTATGCCTGATTCTAAGACACATCCAGATATCGATTGGTGGGTATACAAAATATATTTCCATTACATCCCCAAATTCTCTGCCCAAACGGATTCTGAGACAAGCCCAAATTATATGTTGGCTTATCTCCCAGTATATCCGCATTTTACCCAACCACTACAACCAATCATGATCATAGCATATCATAGCTCTCATGGTCAGTGGAATTTATAGGGTCCGTGGCTGATGGGACCCCACTATGCTACTAACTACTCTCATACTACTCCCACGTTCGAAACCCCCATATATTCGATATGGCAAGATGGAATGGGAATAGAAGTTCCATCAGCCAGGGGTTCCTATACATTCCAAGGACATGGCGAGCTGTTTACCTCCTTGTTTTCTGCTGCTTCAGGCTGGAGATCTCATTGAAAAGTTCAATGCTGCGGGCGTGGTGACGTGGCGACAGGAAAATTAGCGTTGAGCATCAGGGGCGTTCTCGAAGTATACAAAGTGGGCCCCCCTAGAAAGCTAAGTCGCTGTTGACCCCAATAAATATGGTGTATGATACATGTAACTAGTTATATACTGGGGATCAGAAACCAACAAACATAACTGGAATGCCCCATATTGTATGATTCAATGTATTTTGATGGCTCATTGCTGACTTGGCGGGTGCAAGAAACCGCAATTGGTGCAAAGGGCCCCATGCAAATGGAATCGCTAGGTTGGTCATCACTCCAATAGCTGTATGGTTTATCATACTTATAACATCTTTTAAGATTTTTTATAACCATGTCAATGTGTACTTCTTGGGGTTTGTAGACCAAACATCACAACATGGGCACCACAAATTGTGGTGAAATCCACATGGCAGCGACCAAAAAACACCAAGGTGATGTAATGCCAACAATATATTTACTTCCTCCAACCACGTATTCCAGCCATGAGTCTTTCAGTGATCCGATTCTCTCAATAAGTTCCATCAAGATATTGGTCACCAATCTCTGATGGTTGTCCCTTGCAATAATTTGAACCCATCTTTATGATGTTCATGAACAGATTCAGGCATTTTGTTCCACATGGTCTTTAAATATCCTCCAGTAATCGAACGTGGCAGTGGCCAATCCACTATTTATAGATGTATAGACTGTATAGATGGTTTTCGCATCAAAACATCCATTTAGTTCAGGGATTTCCCAGCTAGCTACGTTTGATGACGCTAAAGGGTTTCTATCAGCATTTGATCTTGAGATATTCCCATGATCCTCATGGGGTTGCATTGGCCTTGCAGTGGGAATTGCTGAACGTGGGCTGCGTACCGGATTTATACAGTACTGATGTACTGATAGACTGATACGCTGATATACTGATATATTGATACACTGATACACTGACAAGCTGCTTTACAACAGTGGTGGTTGCTATATATATATATATTTATATGTATCCATATATATGATCTACATGGCTTAGTTGATTTGTTATATACCCAAGTTTTTTCCGGGATGATAAACAGAAAACTTGTTTACACTACTATCTATAGATATGGATATATCATATATATATATATACACATACACACAAATTTAATATTCAGGTTTGCCATGATTCCCCATGATATACGTAACATCACTATGTCATGTATGGATCCAAGTACCTTCTGAGGAAGTATTTGGGGGATTTAGGAGGTTAAGTAGCTTCTCAGGTAGTAGTTGGATGCATTTGGATCCATAGATTGTATGGATGTCCAATAAATCCATAAATACATCCAACAAAACATTTATAGATATATGATTGTATATCATATACACAATTTATATATATATATATATATTTGTACAATAAACACATATAATAAATAAATATATATATATATATACACATATACATGATAGTCTTTGGATGTATAAATCCGGATAAATTATATCCCCAAGAGGTGAGCAAAGGCGTCTACCTCAACGAGCCTGAAGTCTGGTCCGGCAACGCTGGCCGCATCGCGGGACACAAGGTGCGAAGTCGAAGTTTTGGTGCGGGGAATGGTGAACTGTGGGAAAACCCGTAGGAAAACCATAGGAAACCATAGGAAACCATAGAAAAGCTATTAAAAAATGGTGATAACTATAGGAAAACCATCAGAAAACTATAGGAAAATTGTGATTTAACCAACAACAATTGGGAAGTTTATGGGATTTAACCAGCAAAAGTGGTCATGTAACCAACAAAGATATGGGCTGATTTATGATAACTAGATAATTGTAGCTAAGTTGGTTTATAACGGATATATAGCTGGGGTTTATGGGTAGATACATCATGATACATCTACAGTTAATGGGGTCTATAAAACAACTTAGCCATCGTTTCGGGGGGCCCGCCATGGTTCGTTTCACCAGTTCTCAAATTGGGTCAACACCTCCCTTTGCCCAGCGGCTTGGGTCCCTGTGCTGGATGCAGTCTGATAAAGGCTACCATGCCTTGAAGGGTAGCCAGTTCCATGACTCCCATACTTGAAGTTGATTCTAGCATAAGCTTGCCTGACCCAACAACTTCAGATAAATGCATGTGCAGGCATGGTTCTCTACCAACTAAGTGGATGGGTCAAAGCATTGCACGACGATCCATGTGGCCACGCGTTTCCCAACGAAATTGCCATAGAATCGAGTACCCTCTTTTATAATCTTCGGCAACATGGGCAACATCACATCGACCTAATGTCTTGATGATTTTCCCATATTTTCCCATTGAAATATCCCATTGTGGAAATCCCATGGGATTTTCCTATTGAAATGTCCATTTCATTGCCAGGTTTGTTGCGACTCCCAGGGTATCCCTTTTTTATCTTCCAGGGTCCATCGCCAGGTCCTAGTTGAGCCCATGATCAAAGGCCGCGGTTTGTTTCGTCGGGACCCTTTTTTTCGGGATGTTTTTCGGTGATGGAATGCAGAGGTTTTGAGGCCAAGAAATTGGTGAATAATTACGGTATTTGTTTTCTGGATCAGGCTTTAGAGATGATGCGACCCATGGTGCTCCAATTTAACATAATTCATCCCTTCCGGGGTGTTCCGTCCCCATTGGCCCATGTTTTGAGGGTTGAAACCACTGTCCGGAGATGAAATAACTCATCAAACGCCAAAAGAATACATGATCAGTATGATCCATGAATTATGCTCATGTTCTGGGGAGAAAAAAACATTATAAGTGATTCAAAAGGAATATACGAGACAACATGATGTTGTAAGCATGCCTCATCCGCACAAGATGCTTCAAGAACTGGAGAAGCACTTCATTTGCTTTGGAAGTCTTGAGGGTTTCGAGGCAATTGACGTCTCGCTGGCAAACCTCACCGTCCTCATTTCAGGTGAAGTATTTTTAATTCATCCACCTTAGGACCTAAGCAACCATGAAGTGTGAATAATTGGGATTCATAGTCAATAAATGCCAATAAATTTATTGGTATATAATGGTAGAGAAGTTATTTCTACATTGCAAATCACTATGTATCATCCTAGTTCATCCCAGAAATAACTGATGCCAGTTATCATTCACCCAAATTCCAGTTTATTGTTCTTCCTAGACATTCATCCTATGTAGAAATGGCTGATGTTCAGTGATCATTCACCCTGAAGCCTTCGGAAGGCGAGTATTTCAAGTTCAACAGCAACACCGGGCATGCAGAGCCAGATACGCAAAGCATGCAAGCGCTGTCGCACTTCACCTATCATCAGTCGAAGCATGGCGAAACAACGGCGGGTACTTACTTGCTGGATCCGACAACTGGGGTTTTAGCCAAATGTGGGTAAAACCAAAACAATGCCATGTTTACCATCCCCCAGTCATCACCATTTTTATAGGTGGTATGTGACTACCATTCCCAGGAAAATGGGTGGTTTACTGGATCCGACCGAGAAACACAGCTGATTTTTGGTCACTTAAAATGAATGGCCAGGTGCGTAAAGTTGCTGATGAAGATGATCAATACCATCAGTTTCACAACTTGTTTGGGTCGGATGTTATACCGTGTTATTTCTGCAGGTCATTCATATGGAGGGAGCACCCTTTTTGATTCATTCCATCCTGTCATGCTAAATGCACCAAAGACCCCAACATGAATATAGAGCCAAGCCATGGTTTTGTTTGAGTGGTCTTAGGGAAAAGGAATTCTCATCATAGTCAAATATCACCCGCTTTTTGTTGGCTAAGATCATATGCCATCCCAATTTCAATTCAAAAGCAACACATTCTAATTATGTAATACATTGTAAAACATTGTAATACATTTTAATACATTGTAATACAGTGTAATACATTGTAATTCATTGTAATACATTGTAATACATTGTAATACATTGTAACACATTGTAATACATTGTAATACCATAATCATCTTAGATCCTGATTTCATATGTCGCGTTCCTCTACCGGGACGGGCTATTTACCCAGAATCCATCTGAATTTGATGGCCAGAAACAATCCATAAACCATAAACAATCCATAAACCATATACCGTATCATTAATCATTACCCAGATAATTGACCCATGTTTATCAGTGATTATATATGGCCAATGGTACCCCAAAGGTACCTTGAGATATGTCCATATATATATATTCATTCATCAAATACTTATCATAATAATATATGTTCATAAAGATCATTACATATCTAAGGTATATTATATATGATAATCATATATCTTAGTGATTATAATGATTTTAGTTATATATTAATCATTACTCAGCTGGAGTGATCACTTCCTGTTGGAGGTGACCCACTGAGGAAGGGCCAGTACCTTCTCTGTGACCTGCAAGGGGGTCGCTATGATGGCGCCTCGCTTTCACCAAAAATTGTGCTTTCAACCAGCAAACATCGGGAGAACATGGAAACATATGAAACAAAAATTGGGATCTAAGTATGGGCTATGATCAGCAGTGTCTGGGTCTGAAAATTTGAAAATGGCTTATCCGCCATTTGATGGCATTTTTTACAAGGAAATTGATGATCAATCATTGAATTTGGGGGTACATTTTGATTTTTACACACAAAGTTTGACCAGCCTTAAATGGGGATATAAGCTGATTTAACCTTTCCCACCTTGTTGTTTCCATGTGTTTCCAATTGTATTTTTTTATCAGGGATTGTGGTCTTTATGGATTGTCATCAATGTTTGAGGGGGTGGCTCTCAACCAGCAATCAATCAGAAATGTCCATGGTGGATACCTCCAGTGTCACAAAAAGCATGCCAAACACTGTGGAGACATGTTGAAAATGCGCTTCAATTTCAGTCTCTATACTCTATAAATACGCCAAACAACCTTCACACATCTCGTTGATATTTTTTTCTCGTGGGAATTATGTTTTGAGAACAGCCTTTGGATCACTTGGTCGCTGAGGTTTCTATGTGCTCACCGACCCAGTGATACATAGCAAAAACAAGGCGATCGTATGGGGCTTGATTTTGGTGGGAACATCTACAGCACATCATGGCCACTTCATATCCGGGGGATCCATGTAACTAACTCCAAAGGCCCATAGGCACAGATTCTGAATCCCAAAAAGCGGTTGAACATGGAAAAAGTGTTTCCTCTACTTTTCCCAAGCTATTCTGGGAGTCATGGTGTCGGAGTTTATTTGTTCGTTTTGCCATCACATCTTATGGGGGCAGATGATGTTGCGACACCTCTAGCGGACCTCACCATGTTCGTGACGGTGTATATAGTTATATACCAGGAATGATCCCAAACGATTGGAAGATGGCCTATGTTCAGCGATTTGTCCACAATCCCATCCTTTCATAATCCTGGCAAGTACCTCCCTGAAAACTGATATAACACTCCCAAACCATGAGTTTGTAAGATGATTTTCATTTTGGCAATGGCAGCCCTTGTTAGGTCATCTCGCCATGTTTCATTAATCTTGGATGATTTGCAGCAACCACATTTGAAAGTAAGGCGCTCAGTAAATACCTTCAATCTGACAGAACATGATAATATCTGATCTGGGCCCAACGAATCTGATGATCTATCACTTCTTTCTGTCATTTTCCCACATGTTTGTGCATACCGCAGTATGTTTCTCTTTTTTGCTGCCAAATGTATTGTCTGTTACCCCTTGAATTAACAGTTTCTAACAGGTTTGCAACTATGTGGCTTTGTTATGCTTTGTTTAGCGGCCCAATTTAAAAATCTATGAAGGGATCAAACAAGTTGAATCTGGTTTGCGGTATTGCCAGTCTTCATTGGTAGGTGACACCTTGTTTTTAAATGTTAAACCCTATATATTTCCTATTATCCTAGCACAGATAGACTAATAGTTTCCAGGTTACACTTCGCGCTAAAACTGCCATTTATTGAAATCATGTGTGAAAAGTGACCGAAGTTCTGATCGCAACTGACCAAATGATGATCCCAAAGGGTTTTGCCAGGATTGAAAGTTGATATATCTGTTGGAAAAAAGGGAGAGAGAAAACTTAGAAATGAGGGGGCACATTGTAAGTCCCTCTGGAATCATTTGTTTGTTTGGGGAAAAATGCGGCAGACATCCACAGTTGATGCTAAAACTGATCGTTTGCTGTAGAGTTTGAGCCGGTGATGAATGATGTTTGCAAGCCCCTGAACTGTTGGCACCCAGATAAAGTTGGTTAAATCCCATCCCATGAATCCCCAAGTTTCTATATGTTTGTTGGTTAAACCACCATTTCCCCATGGTTTCCATATGGTTTTCCTATGGCTATCACCATTGTTTCATGGTTTTTCTATGGTTTTTCTATGGTTTCCTATACTTTTCCCATGGTTTTCCCATGGTTTTCCCATGGTTTTCCTATGGTTTTTCTATGGCACCATGGCTGGTCCAGCCACCCCAAGCCACATGCCACCGCCGCTAGGAGTTTGGCGGCACGGACCTGGGTGCCGATGGCATCGAGAACTTCATGGCGCACCATCGTTGCGGTGCGACCTGCGGGCTGGCATGGATGTATCATTATGTATCCAATATCATATTAATATCTTAACATATTTGGAAATATCTGGAAATATCTGGAAATATTTGGAAAAATCTGGAAATATCTGGAAATATCTGGAAATATTTGGAAATATTTGGAAATATCTGGAAATATCTGGCAATATCTGGAAATATCTGGAAATATTTGGAAATATCTGGAAATATGTGGCAATATCTGGCAATATCTGGCAATATCTGGAAATATCTGGCAATATCTGGCAATATCTGGATGGAAATATCCGGAAATATCTGGAAATATCTGGAAATACTTGGAAATATTTGGAAATATCTGGAAATATTTGGAAATATCTAGAAATATCTGGAAATATCTGGCCATATCTGGCAATATCTGGAAATATTTAGAAAAATCTGGACATATCTGGAAATATCTGGAAATATTTAGAAATATTTGGAAATATCTGGAAATATCTGGCAATATCTGGAAATATCTGGAAATATCTGGAAATATTTAGAAAAATCTGGACATATCTGGAAATATCTGGCAATATCTGGAAATATTTGGAAATATTTAGAAATATCTGGAAATATCTGGAAATATCTGGAAATATTTGGAAATATCTGGAAATATTTGGAAATATCTGGAAATATCTGGAAATATCCGGAAATATCTGGCAATATCTGGAAATATCTGGAAATATTTGGAAATATCTGGAAATATCTGGCAATATCTGGAAATACCTAAAAATATCTGGAAATATCTGGAAATATCTGGAAATATTTGGAAATATCTGGAAATATCTGGAAATATCTGGAAATATCTGGAAATATCTGGAAATATCTGGAAATATTTGGAAATATCTGGAAATATTTGGAAATATCTGGAAATATCTGGAAATATCTGGCAATATCTGGCAATATCTGGCAATATCTGGAAATATCTGGAAATATCTGGAAATATTTGGAAATACCTGGAAATATCTGGACATATCTGGAAATATCTGGAAATATGTGGCAATATCTGGCAATATCTGGCAATATCTGGAAATATCTGGAAATATCTGGCAATATCTGGAAATATTTGGAAATATCTGGAAATATTTGGCAATATCTGGAAATATCTGGTTTGGAAATATCTGGAAATATCTGGAAATATTTGGAAATATCTGGCAATATCTGGCAATATCTGGAAATATCTGGAAATATCTGGCAATATCTGGAAATATCTGGAAATATCTGGAAATATTTAGAAATATTTAGAAAAATCTGGACATATCTGGAAATATCTGGTTTGGAAATATCTGGAAATATTTGGAAATATTTAGAAATATCTGGAAATATCTGGAAATATCTGGAAATATTTGGAAATATCTGGAAATATTTGGAAATATCTGGAAATATCTGGAAATATCCGGAAATATCTGGCAATATCTGGAAATATCTGGAAATATTTGGAAATATCTGGAAATATCTGGCAATATCTGGCAATATCTGGCAATATCTGGCAATATCTGGCAATATCTGGAAATACTTGGAAATATCTGGAAATATCTGGAAATGGAAATACCCTCTGGTAATTTAACATAACTATGGCAAGATCCACTATTTTTTGTGGGCGAATTCACTATAAATGGTGATTTTCCATAGTTATGTTAAATTACCAGAGGGTCTCCAATATTAATCAATAGTGTATTAATTATGCTCTGGTTATGACTAACATAGCCATGGAAGCCATGGCCCATAGAAATAGATGGTTTACCTATTAAAAATGGTGATTTTCCACAGCTATGTGAAATAACCAGGTGGTATATATGATATATAGTATTATAATACATTATAGTAGTAATATATATATATATATTTTTTATTGTAATAATAACAGTAAGAAAAAGAGTAATAGTAATAGTAGTAATAGTAGTAATAATTATAATTTAAAAAGTAACTATAATTATAACTATAATAAACATAATTATAATAGATAGTAATAATAGTAATATATAAATAAATAAATATTATATTTATATATATATATATACACCTTCTGGTAAATTAACAGTTCGACCCTGAAAATCAGCATTTTTTTTGTGGAAACCAATCTTCCAACCCCTATCTGGGGCGAATATATGGAGGTGTCCCAAAATAAGGGTGCCCCCAAGTCATCCATGTGGGTGCTTACGATAAATGTGACAAGCAATGGTTTGGGGTACCCATAATTTTAGGAACCCCTTACAGGTATGTAAATATAGATATGTATATGGAGCATCTGGAACATATGGGATATCTTTCCTTTAATAGGGAATCTATGGAAGATAGTCTGTAACTGGATAGAAACGGCTGGTTGCAATGGGTCAGAATTATATAATATTTTATATAGAAATGGAACGGCGCGTTGAATTTTGAGACAATGTCACACCTTATTTTACATGGGGACCGTCATCCAATGATTGATGAGGATCGTTCCATTATCGGCAATATTGTCATGGACTGCTATTGCGCTGGGTCCGAAAGCACGATATTGTCGGAATGTGACAAATGGATGTGTTCCTCTTCCTTGTGTTTTGCCATGCCACTGGTAGCAGATCCCCATGTCGATGAAACATCCATCATTGATGTCCGATAGTTTATATTCCCATGTTTGACCGCTTAATCAACCATGTGTTACGTTTTCTATTTCATCATCATCATCATCATCATCATCACCACCATTGTTTTCTATATTCCCATTGTTGCGTTGTTGTGTGTCCTTGGCACCTTGGTATTGAATCCCCTATGTTTGCCGCTGATTGCAGAGGTCGCTTCTGCAGCCCCAGTTGGAAGATGCCTCCAGTGCGGGGGCTCGGCATGGCATGTGGTGGGCTTGGTGGATTCCTGGTGGATAGACCTTGCTGAAGGTCCAGTGCCAACCTAAGGGGCCCTTTTGCGGTAAAGGTTTTGATGTGGAAGCCATGGCCCATTTATGGATGCCTAAAATGGTGATTGACCACATCCTATGTGAGTTTATCCTAGGGTTGGCAGCAACACTTCACGGGGTGAGGTTGGCCACAAGGAATTAAATACTTCCCATCCAAACTAACAGAGATCCTCCACATACGTGGCTGGAAGATGTTGGAAGACTACTTTCATCTGTGTAAAAACGAGTAAGGTTCAGGGTCTTTATTAGTTTTGTTTGTTGCCTGATGGTCATTAAGGATTCCAAGACAACAGAAAGAGGAGTATTGAAATTTCTCACTGAGAATTGTCTCGGGAGCGCAACCTGGGCTGTATACCTCAAGGCTCCTCCCAGATAGCACAACCGATTGATACCGATTGGCACATTTCTTTGATTTTGATGATAGACAACGCACACCATTTGGCAGAACCAAGAGCCAGGAAAAAAAGGGTTTACACTCCGTTTGAACATCATATATAGATTATTTCATCCATCCGTCACCAAGTTTTGTTGGGCCCTATTTCAAGTCACATCGCCCGCCCAGGCAAAGCAATTGATACCCAAGTTCGAGGTGGCGCGATCTTTCCACAGGGAGCAAGAGAGATGGGTGAGCATGTTGGCAACAGACACCCAGATCATGTCGACTATTTAGTAGAAATAACTACTTAAACGAAATCTTAGAATTTAAAGAATCACATGGTTTCTACAAAATCACAATGTGGACCCCCAGTTATAAGTTGTTTGTAAGCTTGTAAGCCCCATCAATACTATACCTAAAGGTCTACAAGTATCATGAACCATACTCATTGGAGTTATGTGGCCCCCAACTTAGTATAATTTCATGGCTACGGGGGCCCCACTTTGCAGCTTTGCAGCCTGGCACATTCTTCTCAGATATACATACGGCGTTCTTCAGAACCAGACAGTTCGAGTATGAAAAAACATCAGATCAAAAATAATCCCAAGGGACATCAATATACTGCGGGACATATCTACCTACCTACCTAGCTAGCTAGCAAGCTATCTATCCATCCATCCATCGATCTATCTATCAATCTTTCAGTCTATCAATCTATCAATCTATCAATCTATCAATCTATCAATCAATCTATCTATCTATCTACCTACCTATCTATCTATCTATCGATCTATCGATCTATCGATCTATCGATCTATCGATCTATCGATCTATCGATCTATCTATCTATCCTATCTAATCTATCTATCTATTGATCTATCGATCGATCTATCGATCTATCGATGTATCAATCTATCGATCTATCGATCTACCGATGTATCAATCTATCGATCTATCTACCTATCTATCTATCTATCTATCTGTCTATATCTAGCTATTCTACTCTTTCTTTCTATTCTAATATCTATATATATATATACTTTTCCGTTTCTGTTCTAATTTAATCTAATCTATCTAATCTATCTAATCTATCTAATCTGTCTAATCTATCTAGTCTATCTAATCTATCTATCTCTCTGCCTATCGATCTATCAATCAACTATAGAATAAATTCTAATCTAGTCTAATCGAAATCTATCTATCTATCTATCTGTCTATCTATCTATCTATCTATCTATCTACCCATCTATCTATCTTTCTATCTATCTATTTATCGATCTATCTACCTATCGATCTATCTATCTATCGATCTATCTATCTATCGATCTATCTATCTATCTATCCATCTATCTATCTATATTTCAATCTATCGATCTATCTATTCATCCTATCTAATGTATCTATCTATCGATCTATCGATCTATCGATGTATCAATCTATCGATCTATCGATCGATCCATCTATCTGCCTATCTATATCGATCTATCTATCTATCTTTCTTTCTTTCTATATTTATATTTATATCTATATCTATCTCTATCTATCTATCTATCTATCTATCTATCTATCTACCTATCGATCTATCTATCTATCTATCTATCTGTCTATATCTAGCTATTCTACTCTTTCTTTCTATTCTAATATCTATATATATATATATACTTTTCCGTTTCTGTTCTAATTTAATCTAATCTATCTAATCTATCTAATCTATCTAATCTGTCTAATCTATCTAGTCTATCTAATCTATCTATCTCTCTGCCTATCGATCTATCAATCAACTATATAATAAATTCTAATCTAGTCTAATCGAAATCTATCTATCTATCTTTCTTTCTTTCTTTCTATCTATCGATGTATCTATCTATCTATCTGTCTATCTATCTATCTATCTATGTATGTATGTATGTATGTATGTATGTATCTATGTATCCATGTATCTATCTATCTATATACGAAAGCTACATAGAATATAGTTTGTCCTAAATGATATGGACATCCATTGATATCTCAACATTCCAGCGCCTTAGGCGGTCTGTGGCACAACCTTCGGTGAAGCCGCAGCGCTCTTCAGTGATGAAGAACGGAAGGATTTGGAGATCAAGGCCGCTGCTTGCAATGGGGATTTTAATGGATGAGATTTTCATGGAGATTTTCCAGATTTTAATGGGATATTAGTGGATTTTAATGGATATGAATGGGGATTTCTGATTTGTTTTGAGTATGTTTCATGGAATTGAGAACCAGCCAATCATCATTCAGAATATCATCAACTGTTCAAAATGTTCAAAACCCCGGTTGATGGTTATACGGAATTATAATGCTCAAAATATTGGGGAGAATCGAAATCCATTAGGGGAATCCTTGTAAAAACCTATGACAACGTAAATTGAACGCTGCTAAATGGGCCCGGAAGTTACACACTATATTGTTTTTTGGGTACACTTAATATCCCCTGATAAATGTTTATGAATAGGTACATGAATGGGTTTCGACCCAGTTCCTACTGGGCTGCAGTTGGGATATGTGTTTAGAGGTACAAGCAGCATGTGATTGTGCTCGCATAGGTTGGGATTGAATTAGAAGTGAACCCTCAATTTGTACAGGAGCATTTGCGACGGTATGCGACGGTATTTTTGCTCAAGATGAATAGCTACTCAGATACTGTTGGACTCAAGTCTCTTTTGACGGGAAATCAAAGCTAGCCAATGTCCAAGAGAAATCTGTTCGATCAAATGGATTTTCAGGTCATCATATTAATTAGTTTGTTACGGGATTCTGGAGCCCTGGTTTTTGCCATGAAACACAGCTACTTGACTCTACTTATTCAGTAGTGATAGGCTAAGGTCTCTTTATTTCTGTGAGGCCGCGAGCACTGTGATTTGAGGTATAGCAGTATGATTTACTTGGACTAGAAGGAGATAAATGTTCATAAATTGTGTTGGTGTGCTCGGCCAGACACGTTGATTCTTAAGTTGTTTGAGCTTAAGATGGATTTGCCAACGTTAAACACCTTTGACTTTCAGTAGGCAATCAGCAACCTGCTGATATGATCTGTGTGTGTGACCACTTTGAGGACAACATCTCCGTGCAGTTTGGCACATCCTACTTCACCTGTGGGTGATGATATACTAAATAGTAGGAAGGATTATTCCACTTATGATTTGCATTATACATGTATATTAATATATAATATACACGTATAACCTTAAGTTTATATAAAGGTTTACACCGTTGAAGTAGTTCTGTTCCCAAATGAATGTCATGAAAACCACCAAGTTGACCACCAAGTAGTAACCACTTTCATCTCCGGCTCAGGTGAAGAAGGAGATGCGTATCTCCATCCGCAAACTTTGGGAGAACGCCTTGCCGGGCGACAAGAACAAGAATCAGTGTCTTGTCGGGTCGGAAGGATCGTGGCAGACGATAGGTGTTATAGGTGTTGTGTTTTTTGGGTCTGATAACCTGTTTGTTTCTGTTTTTTTCGGAATTTGAGAATGATTGTAGAGAGGTATAAATGCAGCAAGTTGTTACTAGTAGCTGCTTCGAGAACAAGATTTAGAAGTGCTGTTAAGTGACTAAGACGTCAATAAGACGTCAACTACCAACATGCATATGGATGTGGCCAAACCAGAAGCATTGAGAAACAGCGATGTGATACTGTGATATTAAACCTCATCAATATATTGTTTAGCGCCTGTGGTCCTGTTCGTGCCCCACAACAAAATGATGCTGGATGAGGATTGTCTAAGAGTTCCTTGCCGATCTCCTACAGCAGAGAATCAGTGAGTCTAGAGATGATAAAAATCATAGGGTGCTGGTCAGACCCTGTTGGGTGTGACCCCTCTCATCTTAAGGGCCTCTGCGCACAGAAACCAAAATCATGCATTGTCAAACCTGTGGATTGCTCACTCCATCTGAATGCACGAAACACTGTAAATACCGACAAAACCAGGGTGTGACCCCTCTCCTCTTAACCACTCTTAATTGCTCTTTACTACCTTAAAGGGGGGCTGGGGAAAAACAAGAGCTGGTTAGAGGAGATTGTCATGTCGAAACCCATTCTGCCAAGAAAGGGCGGTGCTGCCATGCTGAGGAGAAATTCACATGAGGGGCTGGATACAACCAGGATGATTACCAGCAGGATAATTTTGGTGTGTCTTCGCAAACTAACGGATAATTGAGACATTGACTGTGTCAAAGTATGTATGTCCCAGAAATACGCGCGACGTCTCACTCTGGCAAATGTGGAATTTTGGTTTTGGGACCTTTGACTTGTTTTTTGGGGACACCTCTTTTAGGGGTCCGAGCGAGGATCGTCATCAACAAATCCAAGAAGGTGGAGAAAAAGACCCGCTGAGCGTGGTTCGGACGACTGAACCAATGGCGTTCAAATCGTTCAAAGCGCGCGCTGAAGTCTGAAAACAATAGGGTAATGTCAGTGTGAATTGGGCGTTGATGGTTTTAGAGTTTTAAAGAATTCATAGACATGGAACAGTTCTACTGCTGTAATACAGGAAATGGACTATTTTGATCACTGACTCATTGAGCATGACTCATAGACTCATCTAGCTAGGTCCACGGCTCACAGCCGCCCGTGACATAATCTCCGCATGACGAACTCAGCTGATGTCTTCTTCTTCTTCTTCTTCTTCGGAATTCCACTGTGCCGGCAGCCTCTGACATTTTTCTGCCCGTGAACATTGCCCTGCCACTGAGGAAAGTGGTTTGATACCTTCTTACCATCGGAAAATGTGGCTTTTGAAATGCCGCTAACTATTTATTTTTTGCAATTGTAGGGTATTCATTCGTCATGCCCTTTCAATAGTTTCACCAGGTGTGTCATCATTTCTTTGGTTAACAGATATGTTTTATGTCTTAGATTTTCGAACACCAAGTTGATAGTGTTGCATCAAATACAAGTTCGAAGCTCGTCAAGAAAGTTGATAGCGTAGTAGCATTAAATACATGTTAGACGTTAGAAGACCAGGTTGATAGCGTAGCAGCAAATACCAGTTATATAGACAGTTGGAAGACCAAGCTGCTGATAGGGTAGTATCGAATACATGTTTGAAATTAGAAGACCAAGTTGATAGCGTAGCATCAAATACAAGTTCGAAGTCCGTCAAGAAAGTTGGTAGCGTCGCATCAACAGCGTCTTGGAAAGTTGATGAACAAGTTGATACCGCTAGAGAAATCAAGGCCATAGAACATTATTACCCCCCCCACCCCCAACCCCCCTAAACACAACACATGAAAACATCAAAAAATGCACGAAAACCCACGGGCGTCTATAGGCCGTGGTCCAACTACTGTGAATCCATCCTCCTTTCTACCAGGCAGCAGAACCAATGCAGAATATCGTTGGCACAGCTACTCACATGAAATCCTTAAGCCAGTTTGGGGCACTGGGAGCTAACATGCTCGACTCCATACTCCAAATGAATTCTTTAGCATCATGTTCCCATTAAACCCATTTTTTGGGATATGCCCATTTACAGACACGCCCATTGAAGCCTATGTGGACTTGTTGTGTACAAAGGGGGACCTTCCAGCTTTCCTGACATTGCTCGGTTTGGAGTGACCAGTTGACGATACAGTGCGCTGTATCCGTTTCACATGCCTCAGTTTTCAGTCAGATTCATGGCCTGAACTTAGCCTCGAAAAACGTCAAGGCAGTTTCAAAGTCCCTGATGCGGGGTACTTTGAGGATCTGAATGCTGTTGATTCAATGATCAACTGAGACAACTTAGAGGACATGCAACGGGTGGTCAACACCAATGGCATTCCATTCTCAAAGAAAAATGTGTGGTTGGCCCTTTGCTTTGCTGCCTGCTGAAGCATCCAGACAGCTTCAACGAGTTACTGAACACTGGCCCTCTCTAAGAACCATTCTATGATTGGGTTTACTGGACCATTTACATATATAATTATATGTAGATTATACCGCAACATGGTTGTGCAGTTACCATGTACAACCAATTACCATATTCATTCTTGTCCCTGTGCGAATGTCCACGTAGCTTCTTGATGGGTCATTTTACTTTGTATACAATGTAAGTAGATAAGATGGATGATTATGCGTCATTATACTATATCACTATTTATATTAATATATTAATATATATATATATATTTATATGTATAAATGTCTATGTATAATTATGTACACATATACTTTAACTAGATGTTTTCAGGGGGGACAAGTAGGGTTGAGTTGACTTGTAACTGAGTATATAGGCTATAGGGTTGAAACCTTCTCAAGTGGGCCTTATGCACCAGGATACCCACGGAAACCCAGGTATCAGGCCGGGTTGGTAAGTGTCCAAAGTGTACATCACCCAACTAGTGGGGATATAATTATCTCCTACAAATACTTGAACGTGATGATTAAAATCCCTTTACCAACCCCTATTTACTTCTTAACATGATGGTTCGATAAAGCCTGGGATTTTTCGTGGTTCCTGCTTGATTTTGTTTGCAAGGCCACCAACCGGTTGGTTGAGCAATCGACCTACGAGGCCAGTACGAGCCGTTTTTTCTTCCTGAACAAGTGGGAAATCATAGGAAATAATAGCTAGGATATGTAGGAAATGGACCTAAATGACGCCATTTATTCATGTTCAAGATGCATAATAGACCAAAAGCACCTGGCTTGCTGACTTTAAGATGGCCCATTTCAAGATGGGTAGTTGATTACTTATACATTTTTTTGGAATGCTTATACGTTCTGAGGGCATCTTAGGGCTACTTTGAGTATATATTATATATCTAATATCCTGATATGGAAATTTCAGCAAAAAATAGGGCTTAACGGCTTAAATTACAGTAATTAGATGTAATTAGCCAGACAAAACCGGGATTGGGCGAATTCAACTATGATGTTCGCAGACAAAAAATGGAGGGGTTCCCAACAAAAGATAGCTTTTTATCTAGCCAGATTTGGGACGTGTGAACTCGGGCTAGGTTGAAATCGGCAGACATCAAAACCATGGAGTACACCCAGTATTTTGATTTTCAATCGGAAGGGCGAGTTTTCCTTTTGTATGGTAATGTCAGAGGGATGATCCATACCTTCGGAGCTGCCAGGGTGCAAGAGTCGAGTGCATGCGCGTGGGTGTCTACCGTGCAGATATCAAGGACATGGGATTGATGCCGGAGGAGTTGTTCCCATTGGGTCTTCAACAGTTGGGGGTTGAATGATAATAAAGGTGCTGAATCACCAATTTTTGGGCGTGGTTTAAAGACCCATTGGAAATGGACTCTTTTTCATGGAATTTGTGGACATTTTCAATGATGGGACACAAATGGAGCATGGTTCCTATGATTTTGCGTCAGGCAAATCCATGTTTTGAGTCACTTGTTTTTGAAATTGTGTTCTTATTCGAGAAAAATCATGGCGAGTTCAGGAGTTTCGGTTGTTTTGCAAGCGCAGAATGTTGAGGAAGATGCCAAACTGTTTGGACCTACTGACTCTGCAACCGGAACATCAAACATTCCTCCAAAGAACTTTTGTTTGGTGCCTAGCAGACACATGCAGACAATGAAATTGTTTCATTGAAATGAGGCTTCAATCAATATATGTAGGGATTGAACCCTATGAATCAACCATAAGGTCAAGCTATCAATTTGTCAAAGGAAGTTGGGAAGCAATCTTCCGAGTTAAGAATGACTGGAATAGCAATAACAATACATCACACAACAATACATCACACAACAATACATCACACAACAATACATCACGCAACAATACATCACATAACAATACATCACGCAACAATACATCACACAACAATACATCACATAACAATACATCGCACAACAATACATCACATAACAATACATCACACAACAATACATCACAAAACAATACATCACACAACAATACATCACGCAACAATACATCACACAACAATACATCACATAACAATACATCACGCAACAAAATGCATCACATAAGCAAAGGAAGTTGGGAAGCAATCTTCCGAGTTACGGACAAATAGACTTGTGATACTTTACATCACACAACAGTACATGACGAAGGGTGGTGGAAGTGGTGCCTTAGGTAAGTGGTGACTGTGGGAAGTGGTGACCTAGGGAAGTGGTGACGAAGGGAGTGTGGTGACCTAGGGAAGCGGTGACGAGGTGAGCGTGGTGACTTTGGGAAGCGCTGATTGTAATGGCTGCATGACTGTTGCATGGGGTTTGTTTTGGGGAGGAAGCCAGAGCACGAAACCTTGTGTTTTTCCTTGTAAAGTGGCTGCAGCCAGCGATGAAGGGTACCTTGTGTGTGCGGCTGTTGCGGCTGCGATCGTATTTCATCGTCGAATTGGTTATCCCTTGGTGTTCTGCAACGTGTGGTTGTTCATGTGTGCGTAGTTCTATGCGCTTGTTGCATCTGTGGTGACAGATCGCAATGTAATGAGTGCGTCATGGTTGCTTGCTGCCGCGGCTGCATGCGTAATACATTTTTTGCAGCTGGACATTGAAAATCGTAATGGAGTGGCTGCATCAAGGCTGCGATAATGATTTGTCAGCAGATTTTCTTCATTTTGGCGCTGGTGATTTTCCTTTTAAAAGTTCTTTTAAAAAGCGCTTCAAAATCGTGTTTTTGTGGCTTTGGCGCCGAGAGCCGTTTTGGAGCTGCAATTTCTCCCACCGATGCGCGTAGTTCTCATGTGTTTTGCAATTCAATTTCTCGATATCGCATGATATCGCATCGTACTGGCTACGTCAAGGTTGCTTGGTGAAGGGGATGCATGCGTAATACTATTCTCTTTTGCAGCTGCACATCGTAAATATTGGAGTGCCTGCATCAAGGCTGCGATAGTGATTTGTCACTGGGACGTGCTTTGTGCAAGCTTTGTAGTACAAAGTAGTACTTGGGAGTACTTTGCGCTAGCTTTGTAGTACAAAGTAGTGCTGGGCAGTGCTTCGTGCAAGCTTTGTAGTACAAAGTAGTACTGGGACGCGCTTTGTGCAAGCTTAGTAGTACAAAGTAGTACTGGGACGTGCTTTGTGCAAGCTTTCTAGTACAAAGTAGTACTGGGACGTTTATTGTGCAAGCTTTGTAGTACAAAGTGATACTGGGAAGTGCTTTGTGCAAGCTTTGTAGTACAAAGTAGTACTGGCAAGTACTCTGTGCAAGCTTTGTAGTACAAAGTTGTACTTGGGAGTACTTTGCGCTAGCTTTGTAGTACATAGTGGTGCTGGGCAGTGCTTCGTGCAAGCTTTGTAGTACAAAGTAGTACTGGGACGTTTATTGTGCAAGCTTTGTAGTACAAAGTAGTACTGGGACGTGCTTTGTGCAAGCTTCGTAGTACAAAGTAGTACTGGGAAGTACTTTGCGCAAGCTTAGTAGTACAAAGTAGTACTGGGAAGTACTCTGTGCAATCCTTGTAAGTAGTACTGGGAACTGGGAAGTACTGTGCGCAAGCTTAGTAGTACACAGTAGTACTGGGACGTGCTTTGTACAATCTCTGTAGCACAAATTAGTATTGGGAAGTATTCTGTGCAAGCTTTGCAGTAAAAAGTGCGGCTTTGTAGTACAAAGTAGTACTGGGAATTGCCCTGTGCAAACTTTGTTGTAGAAAGTAGTACTGGGACGTGCATTTGTGCAAGCTTTATAGTACAAAGTAGTACAGGGAAGTGCTTTGTGCAAGCTTTGTAGTACAAAGTAGTACTGGGACGTGCTTTGTGCAAGCTTTGTTGTACAATGTAGTACTGGGACGTGCTTCGTGCAAGCTTTGTAGTACAAAGTAGTATTGGGGAGTACTTTGTGCAAGCTTTGTAGTACAAAGTAGTACTGGGAAGCACTCTGTGCAATCCTTGTAGTACAAAGTAGTATTGGGGAGTACTTTGTGCAAGCTTTGTAGTACAAAGTAGTACTGGGAGGTGCTTTGTTCAAGCTTTATGGTGCAAAGTACTGTGTAAAGGCTTTTCTGTGTAAATGTGTCTCAAGCTTCTGTGTGCGCCAGCTTTCTGCGCCCAATGGTTTTTCGTGCAAGAGACTTCTCTCTGACAGTATGCTTTCTGGCGTGCAGAAGTGCGAGGTGTGAAGAGTGCAGTGTGAAGTGTGAAGAAAGTGTTTGCTTGGCCTTGCATTGCACCGGGGTCGCGCACAGGTCATGTTCTTGGACAACAACTGTGCAACAGGTTCGCACAAAGCACGCACGGGCCTGGCTGGCGCACAGCGCATGCAAGTTCTATAGATGAAACAAGCCTTAAAGTATAACCCTAAGGCAACTTCCGCCGCGCCTCGCGCGGGTACTACTGGTATGGCTGACTAGGTTGAGATGGTTAAGTACCAACATATTGACATCCCAATAGTACTGATGGGCTAAGTACCATCTTTTGAGGCACAAAATTCCCATCCACAACCACCAGCTTTCTGTTGTGGGTGAAGGTACCGCCGCAGCCACTTCTCAACCACAAATCTACCGCAGCAAACACCACTGCCCTAGAAAGGTCATAGATGAGGTAGCAGGAAATCTCCTGCAGATGGTGTTATTAATCAATTATTCATCGTCATGTCAAAAATTTTTCAGGGCCATTTTGGGGGCATACGTGTACCATGTTCAGACATAGCCATATTTAGACCCATACCATTGTAATTTCCTTCGAAGCGCACCCAGCCTAGTTTCATGGGGAAAGTGTAGACAATGGGGACCTCACGTCGCGACATCACCAACTGAATGATAGTTCGGTTTGGGATAACTATCCCAAAATGGCCTGAAGTGGGCCGGGAGACAAGAAGACTGGTGGCCGATTTTTTCGGGTCGCTGAATACTGTATTATTGTTTAAAGTTGTTTATCCACAATATAGTTTTCAGGCTGATATGCTGTAATTGGCCACGTTTGGGTTTTCATTCAATGGGACAGTCATCAACCCATGGGACGGATGACCATACCAGGCCATATCACATCAATCCTATATTGAAATCCACTGCTGACGGTTAAATTTCATGGTTATATCATTAGTGTCATAATTTTCCATGTGCATGGCATTGTTGATGGTTGATAGTCAAAGCATATCAAAACCCTATACCAAAACTATATATCATACTAGAGCAGTATGATGCCATTATTTAACTCACAATTTTACCTATACCAGTAATTCATTCAAAACCACCTGGTTACTATTCAACAGGGTTAATTATTCAATGAGGTTACCTTAACATCCTGACATTCTTAACATTCCTATTTTTTCCATGCCAAACTTGAACATCGTCGTAAATTCCATCCCAGAGAGGCCCGGGGAGGCCCGGGGCCGCCGCACGGAAGGAGACCTTCAAGATCGAGCCCTCAGCGGTGCAGACCTTGCTGGACCATTTGAAGGGCACCGCTGGGAGTCCAAGCCGCCCTCCAGGCCGCCCAGAAATGATGCAATACGACTTATTAGATACATTGAAATAATATATATATATATATATAATTGTATATATATATATATATTTAAGGGCTGCCGCCCCTGCCGCCGACCCCGGAAAAGTGAAGAAGCCGAGGGAGGTCCACGACCTCGATTCTGTGGCTATTGGCTGCTGGCTGCTACTGGCGCTGGCTGCTAGCTACTGGCTATGTGCACCTTTGGCGTGCTCTTGCCCACGTTCTTGACACCCATTGGTGCCATCCTTGAAAAACACAATTTTTCGTGCTGCTAGCTGCTGCACTGCTGCCGTTGCGCTTACTGCTGCTGCGTCTGCTTGTGTCTGCTGCTGCCTATACTGATGCTTGCTGCTGCCTGCTGCTGCCTGCGGCGGCCTGCTGCCTGCTGCTGGTGCTGCTGCTGGTGCTGCTGCTGGTGGCTGCTGCTGCTGTGGTGCTGCTGTCGTGCTGCTGCAATCAAACAGCTTCCAAAGCAAGAAACAACTGCTGCTGCTGCTGCTGCTGCCCTTTTGCGTGCTCTTGCCCATGTTCTTGACACCCATTGGTGCCATATAAATGAGAAAATTACCAAACGTGACGTCTGAAACCCTATAGAAATATATACAAGATATATAGAAGTGCCTAACGTGTCGTCTGACATCCTAGAAAAACACAATTTTTCGACAGATTCTGTTGCTGGAGGCTGCTAGCAGTAAAACAGGTTCGAAAAAATCACCTGCCGGGGGGGAAAACACCAGGGCTCTGAAGAACGAGCGAGTGCCAGAACCACGCCAAAAAAGTGCCTAACGTGTCGTCTGAAATCCTAGAAAAATCTAGATTTTTGGTAGGCTGCTGGCTACTGGCTGCTGGCTGCTACTGGCGCTGGCTGCTAGCTAGTGGCTATGTGCACCTTTTGCGTGCTCTTGCCCACGTTCTTGACACCCATTGGTGCCATCCTAGAAAAACACAATTTTTCGTGCTGCTAGCTGCTGCACTGCTGCCGTTGCGCTTACTGCTGCTGCGTCTGCTTGGAAAAACGCAATTTTTCGATAGATTCTGTTGCTGGCGGCTGCTAGCAGTAAAACAGGTTCGAAAAAATCACCTGCCGGGGGGGAAAACACCAGGGCTCTGAAGGACGAGCGAGTGCTAGAACCACGCCAAAAAAGTGCCTAACATGTCGTCTGAAATCCTAGAAAAATCTAGAGATTTTGGGTAGGCTGCTGGCTACTGGCTGCTGGCTGCTACTGGCGCTGGCTGCTAGCCATTGGTGCCATCCTTGAAAACCACAATTTTTCGTGCTGCTAGCTGCTGCACTGCTGCCGTTGCGCGTACTGCTGCTGCGTCTGCTTGTGTCTGCTGCTGCCTACTGATGCTTGCTGCTGCCTGCTGCTGCCTGCGGCGGCCTGCTGCCTGCTGCTGGTGCTGCTGCTGGTGGCTGCTGCTGCTGTGCTGCTGCTGTGGTGCTGCTGTCGTGCTGCTGCAATCAAACAGCTTCCAAAGCAAGAAACAACTGCAACTGCTGCTGCTGCTGCTGCTGCTTCTGCTGCTGCTGCTGCTGCCCTTTTGCATGCTCTTGCCCATGTTCTTGACACCCATTGGTGCCATATAAATGAGAAAATTGCCAAACGTGACGTCTGAAACCCTATAGAAATATATACAAGATATATAGAAGTGCCTAACGTGTCGTCTGATATCCTAGAAAAACACAATTTTTCGACAGATTCTGTTGCTGGAGGCTGCTAGCAGTAAAACAGGTTCGAAAAAATCACCTGCCGGGGGGGAAAACACCAGGGCTCTGAAGGACGAGCGAGTGCCAGAACCACGCCAAAAAAGTGCCTAACGTGTCGTCTGAAATCCTAGAAAAAGCTAGATTTTTGGTAGGCTGCTGGCTACTGGCTGTTGGCTGCTACTGGCGCTGGCTGCTAGCTACTGGCTATGTGCACCTTTTGCGTGCTCTTGCCCATGTTCTTGACACCCATTGGTGCTATATAAACGAGAAAACTGCCAAACGTCACGTTTGAAACCTTATAGAAATATATACAAGATATATAGAAGTGCCTAACGTGTCGTCTGACACCCTAGAAAAACACAATTTTTCGATAGATTCTGTTGCTGGCGGCTGCTAGCAGTAAAACAGGTTCGAAAAAATCACCTGCCGGGGGGGAAAACACCAGGGCTCTGAAGGACGAGCGAGTGCCAGAACCACGCCAAAAAAGTGCCTAACGTGTCGTCTGAAATCCTAGAAAAATCTAGATTTTTGGTAGGCTGCTGGCTACTGGCTGCTGGCTGCTACTGGCGCTGGCTGCTAGCTACTGGCTATGTGCACCTTTTGCGTGCTCTTGCCCACGTTCTTGACACCCATTGGTGCCATCCTAGAAAAACACAATTTTTCGTGCTGCTAGCTGCTGCACTGCTGCCGTTGCGCTTGCTGCTGCTGCGTCTGCTTGGAAAAACACAATTTTTCGATAGATTCTGTTGCTGGCGGCTGCTAGCAGTAAAACAGGTTCGAAAAAATCACTTGCCGGGGGAAAACACCAGGGCTCTGAAGGACGAGCGAGTGCCAGAACCACGCCAAAAAAGTGCCTAACGTGTCGTCTGAAATCCTAGAAAAATCTAGATTTTTGGTAGGCTGCTGGCTACTAGCTGCTGGCTGCTACTGGCGCTGGCTGCTAGCTACTGGCTATGTGCACCTTTTGCGTGCTCTTGCCCACGTTCTTGACACCCATGCCATCCTAGAAAAACACAATTTTTCGTGCTGCTAGCTGCTGCACTGCTGCCGTTGCGCTTACTGCTGCTGCGTCTGCTTGTGTCTGCTGCTGCCTACTGATGCCTGCTGCTGCCTGCTGCTGCCTGCGGCGGCCTGCTGTAGTAGTAATAGTAGTAGTAGTAGTAGTAGTAGTACTAGAAGTTGGGGTCGGCGGATATAGAACAGAAAAAATTGCTACCAATGCTGTGTCAGAAAATCCTTTTCCCTTTCGCGCTCCCCCTTGCGCAGCCGGGGTCGGCGGATATATAATTATATAATCATATATATATATATATACAGGAATTGTTCATATTATAATTTATTATATACATATCATATGTATGAAGTGTCTATTTCCTCTTGCTACGTATTGTCATTATTTAAAGTTTGTCGAAAATGATGACTCTTATTGTCTTAAGCGATGCGCGCAAGGCATGGTCCCAAGATCTCTCAGTGCACGGGATAACCTCATTCTGTCAGCTGATAACGAACCATGTCACCAGAAGTTTCCAGACCCCTAATTTGATATGGTTGCTAGATATGATTTGGTAAATCTAATATGATGAGTATAGTATTAGATAATTATTTTATGATGAGTATATCTAATATGTGTTTGCCCTCTTTTTTGCCAGCCATTGCACCAAAAAACAAATCCACTATAGAGTGACTGCTATTATTATTATACATATTGTTATATAGTTATTGTATTGCGATTGTTGGAAACCATCCCTTGTTACATACTAATCATTACCCTCCATTTATATAGTTCGATGATGTACCTATTAAAAATCATGATGTTGCAGAGCAAACCACTTGATTACCAGATGGTATTAACAAAGATTCCATCTTAACCCATATTCCATTGATATTCCAGTATATACCTACTATACCCTGTTTAGAGATGGCTTTCCCAGTAAAAAAAAACGAAAGAAACCTATGTTCAAGCCAAGCTGGGTCCATCTTCTTTCACCGATGGATAAGGTGGATTTCTTCTTGACGCAAGAGGAAAAGGCTGGCAGCGGAGTGCAGGGAAACTGGTTTTACCCTGGGGTAAACTAACATAGATGTGAAAAAGCAAAGTGGTTTCTCTAGAAAAAAGGTCTAGGCATATGTTGGATTTTCCACATCGAACTGTTAGTTTACCCCAGGGTAATTTGTCAACTGTGGTTATTTTATCTTTGCCGAGTCTATTGCTTTTTATTTCGCCAATGGGAAATGCAGTCGGGGAATCTTTAGATTTTTTTGTTTTTGTGGGGGGTTTCCTTCAAGAAGTCATTTTTTTTGGCATTCTGTGCATACATCTTCTCCTGGGCCGTGGGGGCGAGGGCAATAGCGTCGATCAATAGAATCAGAGCAGTACGGTGCAATGCCATTGCTGTGAGAAGGGAAGACGGCGGATTACATGAGTTGATGATATACCAGGTGATAGTTCCAAGAGTCGGACCGCTATGTATACAGGCACATGCATATGTATCGTTATTATGTACAGTATAATTATACATACATACATACATACATACATCCATGCATGCATGCATGCATGCATACATACATGCATATATATATATATATATATACATATACACACATAATTATATATGTATAGCTGTATATATAATATTGATATTATTATCATTACATTATATGTGATGTAGGCTTTTGTCCCCCTTGGAGCACAGTGAAATATAGTGAATATGCAGGGATCTTTCCCATTCCTTGCTCCGTCATTGAATGGCCCGCAATGTCCTTCTTGATGGGATCCTGTAGATTTTCCCTCGAATCAACCCGTGGAATTGTGGAATGCATGGGTTTTAACAATCATAGATATTCCTTGCGGCTTGTGTGAAGAAATCTGTAGGTTCCATAATTACATATAATTACCCAATCACTCCTGGCTATGATTACTCCTGGCTATAAATCACCCACATATGAACCAAGCAACGTAATTTCTGTGTACCAACACCAGGGTACGAGGGCGACGTGACTATTGTCATTGATTAATCAACAATATTCTTGTGGGTTGCAGTTGCTTCAGATTCCTGCGCTGCTTCAATCTGGAAGCGGTTGAAACGATTTGAAACGGTTAAAGCTTAAAACCTCTGCAGCAAGCACGTAATTAATTACTGTGCCAGAAAGACATCATAAGAATCCAACAACTAAGAGCCTACTGTCTTGGTTTCTTCGCCAAACTCTGATCTCTAATGGATTTCCCTTATGACTAGCCAATGATGGCGGCAGCACTCCACTTTTCAGGTGAAGCTTGAGGATGTCGAAGACTATGAGGACGCGGTAGGATGGTTGACTGAGTTAAAGGTATTATGGTATTGGGGTATATGATCATGGTGATGTCATGACGTTGTTGTTGTTGTTGTTGTTGTTGTTGTTGTTGTTGTTGTTGTTGTTGTTGTTGTTGTTGTTGTTGTTGTTGTTGTTGTTGTTGTTGTTGTTGTTGTTGTTGTTGTTGTTGTTGTTGTTGTTGTTGTGTTGTTGATGATGATGATGATGATCATGATATATCATGATGATGATCATCATATCATGATCATGATCATGATCATGATCATGATATGATGATCATGATCATGATATATCATGGTGAATCATGATATATCTTGATGATCATGAATCATGATGATGATGATGATGATGATGATGATGATGATGGTGATGCACTGCCTGTCGTCATTGCTGTTCGGGGCAAAGCCCAGGCATTTGCCATATATATATATATATATTTACACATATATATATATATAGTAGTCCTCACCATTTTGGATGATACATTGATATAAATTGATGGTCAATGGTATAACTTTTATGACTCTTCGTCATCATACGTTCGATGGTTGAATCATCAAGTTTCATGGTCAAATCATGTTAAATCCACCCTTTAGCAACGAAATCCGAAGGTGTTGACGGTTCAATCCACACTGACTTGACGTGTCAATCCCCATTTGTTTCGACAAGAAACACGTCGTCCCGGGTGTTGCTCGGGGAGTGGTCAGGAAGTCCTCGCAGAAGTCGAAACCCAACTGCGGGCACTCTGCGACCCTGACAAGGTGGCTGTCTTCACCGTTCACCGCGACTGGTGACTTTGGGTTTATTTGGCGATTGGTTAAAACCGATCACTATCATATTTGGGTGAATAGACATCCATTAATAGACATTCATTTTTCGAAAAAAACTGGGAAAGGCAGCCAGGATCATCCTTTCATGCAGTGAATGAATGTATAGTATTGTATAGTGACCTCACTGTGACCTCACTGGAATTCTGGTTAGTACTGAAATATGGAGATGTCCAGAGAGGAGTCCTTATTTCAGGTCACTGAATTAGTATGATTTGCCCCCATTCAATGTACCCTCTGGTTTTTGAACATAGCTATTTATATCATTTTTTCCATTTATCATATGTTATAATCACCCATTTATAGATGATTTACCGACAGTGATCAACAATTTCGCTGGCGGAACAACAACCTTGCTGGCCATCATGCCATGCTCGTCATCAAAAAAGATTGGAAGAAAGGCACTGCTCGGAGGTCGCCCCGCTGCTGGTGTTCACCAGTACTGCCAAACACGTCGTGCGGGATATCCTGGCATAACAGATGAAGACACATTTGTCGCATGAACTTGTGGCCATGTTGGGAGTGGACGAGGTTGATGGCGATCTTTTCCAACAGCTGTTGATTCAAATTTTGTTATAATCTATTGATACACATGGTGATTTTCCAGTTCGCTACGTTAAAGTACCCAGAGGTTATTTTTGATGGGGATTTACGCATGAAACATGCAAGGTGGGGCCCACTTCACTAGCTGAGCCGTTTTACAACGAGGGAGGTCACGCACCAAATTATCACTCAAAGGCAGCACCGATATCATGATTTGATTTAACCTGATTTAAGTATAGGACACTGGATGACTATTTGGCAAACCGACCAGTTGGGTGATTTATCCATGGAAAAGGTGGGCTTTACCTAAGAATATCATGGGAATGAACGATCAACCATATGGTTAAGCGGGCTGGTCATGGGTAGTTAATACCTGTCAATCTCTTTGTGATCTTTAATTGATATTTGTCATAAGCCATAGTTGATACTACTTACTAGCCAGCTAGCTTTCGGTTTCAGTATCAAAAATGTGCCATTCCAGTTGGAAGCCGGTGAAGATCACTGGATAATGAACCCACTTTCCAAGCAGTTGCTAAGTGGACCGTTGAAGTTTTGGTTTGAATCCGTAGAATGCATTGCAATAGGGAATGCCAATAATGAGACCTCCAATCCCACAAGCTTTCCGTAGTATTGGGGCTTCTTATGAGAGTAGGTTGGGAGTAGTATGGGAAGGGGTCGCGTCATTCGGGGTCCCTATAATTTCCACTAATTTGAATAAAGCATATCCTAACCAGCTACAACTGAAGTTTTTTTTTTTTTTCGCGGTTATTATCGACGACTCACCATGCATGGTTCCTATTAACAGCATTTTTTCAGGATTTGGACGCCCTCAATCCCACCCTTTGAGCATGGCCAGAAGACAAGATCAGCCCCTTTGGCTCCCCGTGGTGGATTTGTGCATCTGCCAGTCGTAGCAGCATGTGGCCAATGTGGGCCCCCATACTTTGCTAAGTTGTTTTAGTTCACTGAGTTAACTAGGCTTTATGGTGTAGCTGTAACATGCTATAACTATAGATAGCATAAATCAAGCGATTACCGGCTTCCAGTTGCACCGACAGCCGGCCAGGTAGCTGCGCAAGTGGGTCGTTTGACACACGAACACTCGCCCTTGAAGACGCAGGCACAGGACCTCTCCCTCCACCGACCCCGCCAAGTAGGGAGAAAAAAGGGAGTTGGAAGATTCGCTTCCACTAAAAATTGGTGATTTTCAGGTGGGTTATATGAGTTTATATGTTTTGTTTTTCCAGCGAAAATCATGCAAATGAGAATGTCATGGAATATCACGTCGTTCACATTTGGGCCACTTGGGCTACGCCAAAGCCACTGGTATCCCCACTGAAAATCAAGCGATTGAGGATGATGAGCATGGTGATTTCACCCATCGAACACAGCAGTTAGACACTCCCGTTGTACCCATAAGAATTGGCAACAGGAACGACGTCATGGCGTAGAATATCAATTTGAGGGCCAAAAAAAGTGTCTATATAGTCTATAGGCATCATGAATTTTCTATGTGTTTGCAAACCATTTATAGTTGCAGCTATTCGAAGCACAACCAAATGGAAGATCAATAGGAACATTTCGGTAACATTTGTTTGTTTCAGACCTTTTTGGGTCCGTGTTGTGACATGTTGTGGCTTGTGAAATGGTGATAGCACCAGTCACCAGTAACCTGTGTGTATCTATGTACATACGTATACAGACAGAAAAAGCGAGATAGTGAGAGTTTGTATGCTTACTTGTTATGGTAATACCCAAAGCTCATGTTGAACACCTATAAGCAGTGATCCACTGGCCATGTATGATATCCCATGGACATCCCATTTCTCTCTATGTTCCTATGCAGCGATGCACTCAGGTGGAAGAGGAGCACGAGTATCAGCTTCAGCTGGTGGAATACGAGGTCATTGAAGGCCAGGTGGATGTGGCGTTGACAAACCTCGGTAGAAGCCTACTGAGTAGCATTGTTCACAAAGGAATCATTGAGGATTCTGAAATTTGGTTGATGGTGGTGATGATGATGGTGGTGGTGGTGGTGATGGTACTGACAACCACAAATATTTACCATAAGATATTTGATTGAATGCTGATCAGCATTCCGATAATCACCATGATGAATCAGGGAAATCTAAGGGTAGAAAGAAACAAGTACCTCCCCAATCAGAAAGGGATTGATATGCCTCGTTAAAGGGTTTCTGGGGGGCAGATTTCCTAGGGTAGCGTTTCATAGGCAGTTCAATACTTTGCAGACTGTGTAATGTGTAGCCATAAATGAAGGAAAATAGTACCCAGCCAAAAAAACATCTTTTGCAGCTCATCTATTAAATTCTCAACCATGCTTCCCAGCAATAAAGACGAGTACAGGTATCTTCTGCTTAGCCCCGGGCCACCGTGTGCGCCGACGCTAGGGAAGGGTGGCATCAAATCGGGAGGGAAAAAGGTGAAGAAATCCTCCTACCGCGTGGTCAAGGAAGTCCAGTAGGGGATGGAGGTGGTGAAGCGATAGTTACGATAGTTCAATGGTTGACTTAAACCATTTACGGGGACAATTAGTTCTTGCTGAAAACATGAACGCAATATCCAACAGTGGTAGAAGTACAAACCCAATAGTGATGGAATTACGAAGCCAATAGTGGTGGAATGATTGGTTCAAGAACGGTTGGTATGTGTGTGTGTGTGTTAAAAACTATTGGCATCCAAGAACGGATGCTTTGGTACCAATAATGAATCCATTTTGCGGGTAAAACATGGCCCCCCAAACCCAGGAATTTTAGACACCACGATTTTTCACCAAACAGGGAATACACATGAAACAGCTGGGATGCAAGAGATTTGAATTGGGGTTGGGCAAGAATCGACTATATTACCATGGTGGGGTGTTTTTTAGCAACGTCATCCATGGTCCAACCGCAGCTCATCACAGCATTGGCCCTTGCAGGGGACCACTGTTGCCAAATCCCTTTCCACCCAAGATTCAATACTCTAATACAAAGTAGTCCTGGCTATGTTGGATCTATTCCTTTTGGGCACCTGGATGTGAATGATTCAACAAAGGGGGATGGGATTACGAATTTGACAAGTGTTACATAGTGTTACCAATTTCCGGACAATGGTTGTAATTCAAATCCCTGTGCCCCAATTTTCAAAGGAAGGATCCCTCGGTTATAAATTTGTACAGTAAAGGTAATCAGTTATCGATATATCCAGCATAAATCCAACAGTTTGTCCCGTTATTTCAACCAACTTACCCGGATTGCGTTGATTATGAAGGCATCCAGGGAGGCCCATCCCCTCCAGGATGATTTTCCCTTGATCTACCACTTGGACGTGGGCGCCATGTGCGAAATGGGATCCATGAGATGTTTCAGGGTGGCTCAATCATCCAGCCCCTAAGATTGACCAGCAAACAGGGCTCCCTATGGTGAGGGATGACAGGGATGACCGTCCATGACCTCAGAAAAGCCTAAGGGATCAAGCAGCTGGCCGAAAATCTAGTCAGACACTTTGTGTTTGGAGCCGTAAGGTTTGGGAAGGTGGCCGAATTTCCCTGGACTATCCATGCGGTGGTTACGGAGGTGTTACGGAGATATGGCTATCCATATTCGCTTATGTTTCCTATTACATTGGTAGCCAAGGACCTAAACCTACTAAGAAACTTCCAACCATATGATAGATTTTATCAGAGTGTATCCACCAAAGATCTTAGTGGTTGTTTTCCATATATGTCAGATTCATTACCAGATCAGAGGGTAGTTACACGTCAAACCCCCATACACATTCAATTTCCTGGTTGAATGATTCTTAAAGTTGGGATTGAATTGGTAGTTACTGTTTTCTTGGCCAGGGCGATTTCTCCCAGTCAAATACCCATCCATCCATGGGTCAAGTGCAAGTGATGGCGGCAGAGCAATGATGTTGTTGAGTACCCTTCCAATCTCTCTCACAATCATTCTGAGTCAATGATGGGCATAAGATAGTTATATATTATATATATATAATTATATATAATTATATATAATTATATATAATTATATATAATTATATATAATTATATATAATTATATATATATATATACACACGGATATCCCCCATTCTTCACAAGAGAGAGGGACATAGATGTTTTCACCAAATCCAACTTTGACTCCTGATGTCATTCTTTGGCCATCCCACAACGACGACTGACGTTTTCTTAAGGTCAAGATTCTGATGAGAATTGCTTTGTCTGAAAGCAGGTCACCCCAAAATCCAATGATAAATGGCTTCAATCTTTCCTCATATATTATGATTATTATGTATATACTGTATATACATATATATATATATTATACATATACATACTATGTCTAAATGATGGTGTCAATATGTGTCAATCCCCAAAAAAGTGCCTTAAATGATAGTTTTCGGGAGCAATCACCCAATGATTCCAATGATCAATGGACATGTCCTAGCCTCAGGTACCCCAACATCATTTTGTCGAATCGCCTTCAGCCCATGGCCATCGTCGGGGTTTCCCAGTCAGACGAAAGGGCATCCCCGGACGAGCCATTCATCGGGTGACGGAAGGTCCTATATAACAGATTTGGAAGGCAAAAAAGACACAAAGCATATTATACATTATTATACTATATAAATATATATATATATACTTATTATATAATTATATGTATACATACATGTATCAATTGTTGGTGTGTCCAAACATGGCGTACCCAATCTTCAGGTCATGTGTTTCATTCCCGATTCCTCGTAAAAAGACCGCTCCATGGATCCTCCATGTACCATCCCTAAGTGGGTAGGATCTGACACCCACGGGGCGACTGGGGGTTTGATCGAGTCTAAGTTGATTTCGAGAGACAAACACACTCAGTGAGTGTTTGGAATCCAAGTGTAGCAATGCTTCACGAAACTGGCCAGAAACACCATGAACAGAAACAAAAAGGGATCCATCACAGCGGAGGACGTGGCATTTTTTCTCAGATTTCCTCTCGAATCTGTTTTTTTCCACCAAGCCAAAGGAAGAACAGCAGCCGCCAGATCAGCCAGGTTATCAATGACTCCTAACACACAACAGGCTTTTCCCATAGATTCTCCGCTTGAACCAATTCCAGGAATGGACTATGGAATAATGCCACACCTTTAAGGCTATGGAAATCCATGGATCAAGATATGTAATATTTGTTTTTACCAAAAAACATGGTCTGACACTGACACATAGCTGTATCATATCCATAGCTGTGTAATCCAGGGGTATCTATGTGGCGCAGGTCAGCAAGGAGTTCTGCAACTCCTGTACCTACAACGACCCAAGCAACAAGCCGGGGGCGCCAATTTCGGGGCCGGGCCGTCGGTCGAAGAGAGGCGGAGAAATGGTCCATTACGGGACATGAATGATGATGTATATGATTATTTTATGTACAGAAATTGATATATATTATATTAATATAAATACTCTGTGTATATATAATATATAGATGCGAATTTGGTATTATCAGAATCCATTACGGGAGTCCCTATCAACCAGCTATACAAACATATGCAACCACATGTTCCAATTGGTTTTTGACGCTACTTGTATATGTTTTGTACCTAAATATATGACAAGTGATGTAGGGTCTATCTGAGGATTTCAGCAGGTTTCATTCAAATTTCGACCCATACCCAACTATACCCAACTGAATGATGTTTGCTGGTGTTGGCTATAACCAAGAACTTACCATCACCAGCTTTGTTACTTGCACAATACTTGCAATTTTTGTCCTGTTTCCTTTTGAAAATCTCCCCAGTTCAAAATCACAGAATCATTTGATTTGGTGGTAGTTAAATCTAGGATACAGCAGGGCGGAATGATTCAAGAGGTTCAAGATCCTAAAATAATGATCAAGTTCTGCAGGGTTTCGGTTTTTTTTTTCCGATTTTGATTCATATCGAGATCTCTGTTGGTTGAGTCTTCACTTTGGTCGCTCATATAATCTCAAACTTAGTCTCCAACTTTAATCACAGATGCAACTGAATAAACCGAGATATACTGAATGTTCCTCATCATTTGGATCTTGCTATGTTCTCTATAGTCCTAATATTTCCCATCATTACTCTCCAGTATACCAATCATTATACCAATATTTGTGTTTACCCTAGTAGTCTTCCTATAGGGGGATTCCGATATCCTACGAATCAATAAGAATTATACGTATAATTCCATATATAATCATATATTCTACATATAATTCATATAATATACCATATTAATATAGTTTGTTCCATAGTTGATTCCCCTCTCTTGTCATTATAACCCATCGGGAAAAAAAATCCCTGATCGGATCCACCCCTTAAACACGCCTCGGATCGTGGCACGTTTTTTGCAGTTGTCAACGAGAGATGGACTGGAAGTGGCGCGGGGATCTTTACATGGCCACCAGGCTGGGGCCTTTGGGGCCATGGGCATTGCGATATGAGAAATCTATGGGAAAACCTATGAGTGTTTGACGCAACCAGAAAAAAGATGATGCAAAAAGACCACGGGGCCATGAAAAAAAACTGCGGGATTGATGGTGAACTCCCACTGAACGCTTCAGAATCTTGGTGCGTTTGTTTGCCAAGTTGGTTTATATGTGGTTTAGCATGGTTTTGTTGTGGATATGTCCATGGTTTATATGCTTCGTAAACCAACTTGGAGCAATTTGTGGGGTGCACCACATCCCAAACCATTGGAGCCCTTTAAATAGAAGGTTTAGTGTTTCGGTTTGGTTTTGAGATGTTTTGAGGGAGCTTTGACATAAAATCATTCAACAATATTCATTCATGATCCATGAACTCGGATGCGAAGCGACCCCACCCGCTGACCAGTCGTCACAAATGATGGTTGGTTCAAGAGAACCGCCAAAATGTATTTCTTTACAGTTTAGGAAATTACTGTAAATGATATGATTTGCCCAGAGAAATAAATGATGTCCCTTTTTCTATGTGACTTGAGCCTATATGAGATACAGTAACTACTTATTGTATGACTGGGATGATACAAGAGGGGATATCCTCATAGTCACAGTCCTAAAGCAATGAGCGACATGACAATTCTCATATCACTGACACAAGGTAATAGCCCATCCCATTCACCCCAAGTATCACCAAAACTTGTAGATCCAAGCAATGCAAGATTTGATGGATTTTGAAGAGAAACAAACTGGTGCCCAAAATTGGGTCACCAACAAACCTTCACATGTTTGTCATGTTTAGGTTAAACAAAACACATTTGTTTGGTGGTCCAGACATTTAATTCGAATTATAACATCATATACCAGGTCCCCAGAACACAACAAGAACGTCTTCTGAACAGGTCTATATATTCTACGGCATGTTTCAACGGTACTCGCATGTACTCGTATTGTTTCTCATCCCAAACCTGGCAGGGCAGATGTGAAAGCCATCATCAACGAGATGGAGAGCGAAAAGCGGCGCTACAATTCCAAGGACCCAGTCGGCTGGTGGCTGACGATTTGGAAGTGCTGGAAGTCAAGCCATTTTACCCCACAAACTCTGGGGCCTCCAGATGATAGGTAGATATATTGTAAAGCCAGGAAACTAGATTATTTGCAGGTTATAACTATAATTGATGAAAAAGTATACAATCTAAAGCTGGATGGGTGTGCAATTCAACTAGCATCAATTGACAAATAACTCAAGGACTACACCGGTTGCCTACTTTGGAATATACATAGAATAATAGTAACGACAGCAAAGACCTTCAAGGACCTTGAAGAAAGTGTAAGTTGTCTATTGTCTATAGCCTTTGAAGGTTTCAAAACAGCTGCTTAGGGTAGTTGCAGTACTTACTGTACTCCACTGAAAAACTGCGTGTCTGAGATGGAGAGTCGTGAGTTCCACCCTAGCTATTGAAGGATGCAGTATGGATTCCCCAGGGAAAGTTTGTTGTTTTGAATATAGAATGGAAGTTTTCGGAACGAAATCATTTGGCACAACCTCCTGGAGTACTATCATAATATGCAGATCCTATTAATCCTATTATGTATCATTTACTCACCTCCTGGACATGTTGGTTTACGGGACCGCTATAGCCAATGGCTTGAACAGATCGGTGAGGACAAAGAGACCGGAGAGGTGAAACGAGTGAAGCGCAAAGCTCAGACGAGTGAAATGTGGGACGACCCCAAAAACGATAGGAGTTGTAGGCCTCAAAATAAGGTGTGGCTTCCCACAATAAGCCGGGCCAACAAAAAAAAACTTCCGAAGAAGTTGGTTGAAACAGCAAACAGTAAGTGTTGGACTTATGGTAAGAATAATCTACAGTTGAATGGGTAAAAACTAGCCAACGAAGATAATGTAGTGGTCCACTTTTGTAAATGATTAAAGGAGGTTCCATTGGTTTTTACAAAATAGATTCAAATGTAGAGAGGTTAAACTAATATTCAAATTTACTGTAAATTTCCAATAATCATGTTCATCCATGACTTGGATGATTTAAGGGTGCCCCCAGTTTGGGACACCTCCATATATATATACATATATATATATATGTGTATTGTACACGATGTAATATTTTCAGACATCTAAGTATTTATTAAAGTGATTTCCTCGGCTGAGGTGGAGTGAGTTGCATCCCAAGGAGCAGACAGAAGAAATCACCAAGGCGCTTACGCTTCGTTGATCGTTGAGACCGTTAATACGACGCTGAGCCACCAAAAGAAGGTAAACAACGTACTAAAGAAAATATATGAAAATATGTATATGTTGTTCATGGGGTCAACGCCCCGAGGCGGGCGTGGTTTTTTCCACGTTTGTGCTCTTTGGCAGTATACGTGTTTAACGCTCTTGCCGACTGTAAGATGACGCTACCGAAGACATGTTGCCCAACTTTGTTGCTGACGTCTTGCTACCTTGACCGGGAGGGGGGGTGGGGGGGGATGATAACGTTCCTTTCGACTGTAAGATGACGCTACCGAAGACACGTTGCCCAACTTTGTTGCTGACGTCTTGCTACCTTGACCGGGAGGGGGGGTGGGGGGGGATGATAACGTTCCTTTCGACTGTAAGATGACGCTACCGAAGACACGTTGCCCAACTTTGTTGCTGACGTCTTGCTACCTTGACCGGGAGGGGGGGTGGGGGGGGGGGGGGGGATGATAACGTTCCTTTCGACTGTAAGATGACGCTACCGAAGACACGTTGCCCAACTTTGTTGCTGACGTCTTGCCACCTTGACCGGGAGGGGGGGTGGGGGGGGATGATAACGTTCCTTTCGACTGTAAGATGACGCTACCGAAGACGTGGTAGAGGATGTAATAACGTCTCTGGCAAATGTGACTTCTGACGCGTCTGAGTTCGGTTCATGCGCGCACCAACTCATGGTGTCGGTCGGATTTTATTGAATTTTAATTGAACCTCAAGCAGATGTTGCGGAATTGCAAAAGTTTTTTTTGGCATTTTGACCTCTTGCAGCAAACGTCAAAACATCATAGATCACAACCATAAAATACTGTAAATTACAGTGTAAAAAGGTGATTTTTGATTCAATCACCAAGTACACAATTGTAGAAAACCCACGCCCGCCTCAAGGCGGTGTTCCCTTGTTCATACATATGATATATGTTTAAGACAGTTTAAGAACATGTTTCATTGTCCGATGGAAGGTCTAGGCTAGGTACTTCATGTTGGTGGCTCATTTTTTTGATCAGAAAACCTGGGTTCGTTGTAGGTTGACACGGAACTGAATCAAGGATACTGAGGATGTGAGTCTCAGTGACTGTCCAGCGGGTGATGATTTCAGGGTGGTTCAGCCATTTGTATAGGTCACACGGATGATGTATGTACATAATATGACCTTATATAATTTGATATTCACATACAAACTATTCAGAAGTATAAGTGCAGGATTTGCAAATGTGAGCACCTTCGGGTCGGATCAAATGGACCCAGGGTTCAGGCCGGCCCTCAAGCGGATTGTGCCGCGCACGCAATTGCGGGCTCGGGGTGAAAAAAGACTGCTGTTGTGGCAGTGATCAACTTTGCCAGTGAAAGTTGGTGTCACAATGCCAGCATCTTGGGGAACTTGGGAAATCTACTAAAATTAGGCATCAACGGGATAATCAAATACTAAAATGGGATAATCAATCTACCTAATTTTAATATTTGATTATGCCATTGAAAAATGGGTAGATTGAGGGTCTAGGTATATTTTGTATACCCAATTTATCCCGTACTCTTACTCTTGTGGATACCAAAACATGGACAACTCAATAAGAAAACTCAATCCCATCATGCGCGCAAAACCACATACATTCCAGTAATTTAACATAGTTATGGGACATATCCCATTTGGTTTGATAATTTGTTTATCAAAAAATGTTGACCTTCATTGGAGTTCCATAGCTATGCCAAATTACCAGAGGGTAAATCGGTAAATCATCTTAAATCCCTGGTTGGTGGTTTCAAACATGTTTCATTTTCCATAATATATGAGATAATTCTTCCCATTGACTAATAGTTTTCAAGATGGTTAAAACCACCAACCAGATCCCCATTGAACGCCGTTAACACACCATCAAAACACCACTCAAATCTCCCCCGAACGGCTGGAGTCTCGCCAGTCGGCATCAGGCAGTGAGACAATTCTCACAGAAGGCCTACAAACGCCTGAAAAGTTCGGTCTATGAGGTGGGGATCCATGGAAGACAGAAAAAGAGTCATCTTGTAGCACTGGAATTGTGCAATGCTCATAGTTTTTTGAACATCACGGAAATGGTCAAGTTATGTCAAGTTAAACTTGAAAATCCTGTGGCTATTAGTATATGTAATTAGATTAATGTACATAACATTAATGCTGGTGACTGGTCCAACGGGACCCGCAGGTCCATGGGATCTGAAGCCTCAACTTATTGAGATATAGACAGGTCATGACAGGTCAGAAGCCCATGGTCCATCGCTACACAAAAAGCACAGCCCTAGAAATGTTGATTCATTGGGCATTGGATCTATTTATTTTATGTGCTCCCTATGGGCTGTTGATGGATGAGCCATGACAGCCATGATCAATCATCTCTGCTTCGGCAGGATAAGCGAGACATTGTGTGCCAGCGTGAGAATCCGTTCTATGTCAATACCGTGGGGGCACCAAACATGCAGTTTGCGTCGCCCACGTGAAGGCTGCAAATTCTGGACATGGCCAAATTTGGGGTACATCTTTGTTGTTGGAAGTTTCACGAAATAAATTTATCACTTCTATCCTACAGGGACTGGAATGATGCTCCCAACTGTTGTCTACATGTTTCTCGCTGCAAGGAAATCCAACAAGTGGAGGCCTTTAAATATTTGTCATATATGGTCCACTAGTAAATGGTAGAGAAAGGAATCCCCAGTTGTCAACTCACATAGATCTAGAAAATCCATAACTTCCAAACTACAAATTGTGAAATATCCATATGTACCTTACTTTACTGAATGGTGACTTTCTGCCAAAACGCAACATTTTGGCTGGGTATCTTCATTCTCTTCCATACAGATCTGGATGTGTTGGAATATCAATGGCCCCCAAATTCCAGGTATCTCCCGTACCCTCTGGTAATTTGATATAGCTATTGAACATGGCCCATCTATTGTTGATTTACCTATTAAAGATGGTGACCTTTTCATATATGTTTGTTTACAAGAAGGTATGTCTTCGTACACCCTCGTCTTATTCCTGAGACGATTTGCTAAATCCAAGGTCTTGAACTTTCGAGACCGTCGCTACATGTTCAAACGACGGGCGACTTGGAAGAGATGGGGAAGAGATGGAGGGAAACCTCAACACTGATATGATGTCTTTCAACGGGTTGTTCAAGCGAAACTCACAATCCGAAACAGGCTTTGTGTACAACATTTCCCTTATACATCAAATCAGTTGCTGTTGTTTGATACTGTATGATTGTTTTGTATGTTTCTGCAATCCTCCACAGCTGTTTGTGACTCAGTTAAGCGCAGTTAAGCCAGTTAAGCAACCCTGGCAGACAAAAGAGTGGAACAAGAAGCTGGAGAAGGCTGAAGAAAGTTTGGGCTGCCAAGTTCGGCCGAGGGCAGGAGGCACAGGAGGCAGAAATGTGTTCGCAACAATGCAATCCCCCTACTAAGTACCACTAAGTACCATTAAGATCCATTAAGTACCCCTCCAAAAGAAATCTAGATTGGAGATTGCCATTAGTAAGTACCATTAAGTACCACTAGTAAGATTGCTCTGCATTTTTGGCGCCATATTGGAGAAGTTATATTTACAAAAGGGAGGAATTTTCGGTGATTTCTTGGCCGCACGTGGATAGTAACGGTGTGGCCGGCAGAGCACATATTTCTGCATGTTATTGCTGTGCCAGAAATGGCTCCAAAGCGACGATTTCAGGTGGGTGAAAGTGCGCCATCATTGCTCAGCCGCGAGGTTTTTCCTGTTCATATGCCCGATTGGAAGGAATGCTCTTGTGAAAGTGGGATTCACATCCTGTCCTCTTAAAAGAATTAGAGATCAGTAGGTGGTCCGCTCTTCGAAACTTGCATCACTCCACCGGTTGAATTGATTTGCTCAAGCTGAACGAAGCTGTTTGACAAAGCAAGTAGAAAAGCACCCTGATTAATGAATTTAGCAGCATGCACTCATCCTTGTCTTACACGGGTTTATGATATGATATACAGATTAAACATCCAAATGCTGTGTAGTGTTGGTTTCCTTTGCGACCTTACCCGATGTTTGGAAGCAGAAAACATGACTTGGACGAAGGGGCCCCCTCCTTCTTAAGGAAGTGTCGAGCAACCTAGCGGGAAAAACTCTGGGTTTAGGTAGCCCCATTTTGTTCAACAGACTGTGGGTCCAACATCCCATCATGAGAGCGAAGTCGTCATGTTCTCCTTGTGCTTTGCCGCGCCCAACACCTGGAGAGTGCTGGGTCTGTCGGAAGGCGACGTGTCTTCTTTGAGGGATGGACCACACGGATGGGAGCTGACAGCTGAAGTCTGGGTTCTAAGCCACATTAAGCCACCTTCGTTCTGCTGATTTCACATGTTTTCTCATTGGTCAACTCACTTGATACCCTGATCGCAGAGGAATCCCCATGTTGTCAACTCTGGCCGAGGTTTGATGCAGCCAGCTGTCCAGAAAAGCGTGGTACTGGATTGATCCACTTGGTACATGGATGTACATGGTAAGTTGGTTGTGTCATTTTATATAATTTTGATACAAAGGGTTTACAGACCAGTTACATACATACTATAATATTATATAATATAATATAGTGTGATATAATATTATACCGTATAATATAAAATAATATAATATAATTTAATTTGATATAATATAATATAATAATAATATATAATCTATAAAGTAAACAACATTCCAACCAGAACTTTCTAACTGGCTGGCTACAAACATCATTTATATATATAGACATATATACAATTATATAATTATATATAGATATAGATATAGATAGATAGATATATAGATCCCTGATATGATAGATATAGATATAAATATAGATATATTTCAGGAAATCCCTGGCGTTTCGGTCCCTGCAGGTGCCTCAAAAGAGGAGATCAAGGCCGCCTATCGACGCCTGGCCTTGAAGTACCACCCGGATGTGGACAAGTCGCGGGAGGCCGCCGGATGGCTGATGTGAAAAGATTGGAGAGGATATATTGATGATTATTGATCCATATGTCGTATATAATATATAGTAATTGTATATATATATATATTAATTATATATATATAACTATGATTCATATATATATATATATGTATATATATATGTAAATATATATATATATATGTATATATATATGTATATATATATGTATATATATATATACATTTACCACTATTATATATATACTGGAAGTTCAAAGATATTCTGAAATATGATGAAGCACAATGAAGGTCATTTCATCTGGTTTCAAGCTCTTTCAAGCCTTCCAACTTAATTAGTTCATTGCATGGGACGGATCCAGGCGCCGAAGCGATTCCTCGAAGTGCAGCAGGCCTTCAAGGCATTGATCTCGGCGGACCAAGGCCTTGGACTCAGACCTTCCCACGGGGATGGTTTAACCAATGAAGATATGGTGATTTTGTTGCAATCACGGAGAAATCATCAACACATTTCCACAAGAATGCGGATAGACGTGTGATATAAGTTTATATATATATATACATATATATATAATGTATATAAACTGCAACGACCTCTCTGTGAGCGTGACTGAAATGATCGTTAGTGGGGGCAAGTCTCCCGCAATCTCCTACATCAGGTCGGTGAATTACCAAAAAGTCTATCCCGAATGGATACGGGTTGATATAGACCGATTCATTACACCATATGGATAGGGAGTTGATACACGGGTTGATATGTAGATATAGGTATATAGATAGATAGGATTACAATAGCCTGTCCAAAGTTCATCTCCCCATAATATCCCCATTGTATCCTATGTCCATTGTATCATTATATCCCCAACCATTATATATCTATTGTATCATTACATCATTCATTATCTATCCCCATGATTGATAGACATGATATCCCCCATTAATCATTATATAAATTATACCACCAATGAACAAATAGACATCCCCATGATTCATCCCATTATTCACAGACATGATATATCATGATATCCCCTTTTTTTCCCCATGATATCCTCGTTGATTTCGCCATCAAAACATCGGGCGGATGGCCCCCTAGGCACCTCAGCGCCCGAGACCAAGAAAGGTCGTCCCGTTAGGCGAAGCCCCTCGACCAACATGTTACTGTGATGTTAGTGTGAATGTTATGAAGATGTTTTAAAAAAACATGTTGGATGTCTATGGATATCTATGGAATTCTATGGATTTCCTGTGATTTACTGTTATGTGAGATGTTCTCTTGATAGTTTATTTTTGTTATATATATATATACATAATATGTTGTAACATTTTTACAATATGATGTCACTTCATCCTATCCATAGGATGTTTCTTCCGCAAGCAAAACATCAAGGGGAAGAATCTTAAGGGCAGTAGCTACCATATCTGTGAGATGTTTCCGTTTCCCCTGATCTGACCTCCACTTGACGTTCGCAAGTTACCCATCAATATCCTGTGGGGCCAGATGCTTCTCCCCTTGAGGATTGCAAATGGTGACATGGTACATGTCTTTGTTTTCGCAGACGCCGTGGCATACCCCATGAGCACAACATCCCAATGTCGGTTTTTTACATGGCTGAAGTTTAACATGTTGCGTAAGATACATTTGAACGAAAGAAAACAACGGACCAACATGCATTTCTGAGATGACTAAACCACCAGCCATGAATATAGATGATGTTTGTTTAATCCCAAAAAGATTGAGATATGGACGGAAGTTGAAGATGATTCAGCCCAAGGCCCTTTTAAGGGCTGCTCCCCACCGCGCCATGTCAGGCATCGGCCACCTCCCAAGACCGCTGCCTCCGCGCCGGCACCTGCACCGTCAAAGCAGCGTCGCAGCGAGCGACGCACAGCGTGGCGGAACGGCAGCACGCAGGAGGAGAGGCGGCGTGGCAGCAGTGCCATCTACCATATGGGTGTGTCTGACAATGGGAGATACTACCCAAAATTGTCTTTTAATGGGAACATATAGCAAAACATCTTCAAGTTTGGTGTACCCTATACTACCCTATTTTCAGACAAACCCATATATATATATATACATATATATATATATGATATTATAGGATAGTTGTTCTATCTTCCCGGTGACCTCTGTACGTACAACAGAAAATACAATGGAAAATACTATAAAGGAGAGGATTTTTTGAAGAATGTGACCTGCAGAAGAAGCACAGGTGGTGACTTGGGTCACGGAATGATCATCTCTTTTAGTTGTTAGTAGGTTTGGGTCAGATGATACATCCCTGGGACGAGTACAATCACCTCATTCATGTTGAGCACAATGATAAGCATTTTTTTTACCAGCTCCCCCGACATGATAGGACTCATTTGCATGGGTGAACAGTCTTCACTTGGAGCTAGCTTTGCAACAAGAGCAAGCAAAGGGACCTCGTGATTTGTTGGATGTGTGTCTTCCAGGCACGACATTTGAGATGCGATATTGTTGCCCAAAGGCGAATTGGTGACGTTGTTGACGATATGCGAAGAAATTCTGTCTTGACTTTCCTGAGTTGTCGATGTTACCTTCTGGTATTCTGACATGGCAATGGGAACTTGCCAAATCATGTCCATTTATGTGTATATATATATAGAGATTCCTTTACATTTAAAACTGATCATGTGCAGGCTGCTTTCACAAATCGCTGATTTGTTGTTCATTGCATTACAGTATGCTTACGGTATATTATATATATAACAGTAGTATAAGTATTGTAAGTGGGACATCCACCATACTTTCTGAGACCGCTAGCAACCTCATGATATTGAATAGCAGTCCCAGGCAACGTTTCTCAAAGTGCCAAGGCCGCTGTCAGAGATGCTGGATAAATTTCTGCCCTCACGCGTCTTGGCACTTCTGAATGAGGATGAGGTTGATTAGGATGATGAATGGGGATGATTATGTTTGTTACGATGATGATGATGATGATGATGATGATGATGATGATGATGATGATGATGATGATGATGATGATGATGTGTTTTTACTTATTATGATTATAAGTACTACTCTTATGATTCATGGCTCATATGCTGATCGTGATGGTGTTGATGGCGCTGATGGCGATGGCAATAGTATTGGTGATTATTACGATGAACTGCTACTATAGTCTCAGTGTTTTATGATGATAATAACAACATCTATCATATATCTTATACACAACAAGATGATCTAGTATCTGATCTAGTGGTTCAATTGGTCTGGTTGTTTTCTTTCTTCTTGTTTGCCTCTATCATGAAGGCCCCAGAATTTTCAGCTCATGTCCCAGGCGAGACCTTTGCCTACGGGATGCTGTTTCTGATCCTGGCGCCCTATGTCTTGAGCCTCTTTTACTCAGCTTCTTACCTGCTATCCAGCTGGAACACTGGCAGGTGAGAGCTGAGGCGCTGGCCCAAAGTGGCAGCTTCCCGCCCAAAAAACGCCAACGTGGCTGGATAATGGCGATTTTGTTAGGAAGAAAATCGACCCAACTAGGTGATCTTCCAGCAATGTTTGGTCAGAAGAGGGTAATCCATTGTATCTTTTGGTCTATCTGATCGAATCTAGTTTGTATGGATGCCTGGATGAACACAATTGACAAACTCATTGTTTTCCTGACACCTTGTTCCTTTAAGCCTGGACAATTTGTATCTAGACAGCAAAATTTGGACTGCCCAACCAGAACAGGGAGGGACTTCACATGCCTTATACTCTGATGGTTCAAGCCCGATTCTTTATGGTAAGAAATCAGGTCTTTTAACACAATTCCTTCCTCAAACCAACCCACTTGTTCTGGTTGAATCGACATGTTTGGTTGGTCTATATCAATTCTATGTGTTTTTTTTGGTTTCGTCTCAAATCTTGCTGGCTTTACATCCAATCACATTCATTTCCTTGGCTCAAATCCCGACTGGTTGCTTTAAATCGCAAATCAGTGCGGAAGAAAACATCAATATACATGGCTGAAAGGCTCAATCTGTAAATCTGTAGGATTTCTCCAGTTTTTTTTCTGATTTTTCAGGCAGCTAAATCAGATCTTGATCTTCATGTTGGGGATCCACGCCGTGCTGAGGTGGTGATTTGGTGGCCAAGAGCGAAGCCAAGGAGAAAAGCTGCAATTTCGGGAGAGAAGTTCAGCAACAGAAATGGGGAATTTTCACATGGAGGTTTCCTTTAAAAGGGGTACCCCCAAATTATCCATTTTAATAAGATGTTTCATGAAATAAACCATCCAGCTATGGGGGATCCCCCATCTAGTGTGGAAATGAAATCCAGACATGGGGGTTAAAAATCATAGATTGGATGTAATTAATTGGATACAACTCGGGAAAAAAATGGGGGAAGTTGATGTGTGAATTCACATTTTATGTTGTTATTCTTTTGCTGGGGGTAGAAAGAAAACCACACGAAATACATACTATTGTTGGTTAATCATAAATTCTGATTGGATACAGCCACCAACAATAGCTGGGAGAATTGGGGTGTTTTCCACCGAGTGGGCATAGAATGTGGATAGTAATGGGTATATAATGTAACCAGCAATATGATATTTGGGTGTGTCTGAAAATAGGGTATAACCGCCAACTAGCCATCACATAATAGGGATTCAAACATCGAATTTGGAGGTCCTATATTTTCAGACAGACCCATATCGATCCAGTGGGAACATGGTGCATCAATGCGGGACCTGTGCGGAAATTGGTGGATGATAAAGAGACATAGATATGACATCTAACTTAAATCGTAAGATGTGTGTTTGTATCTAGCCACCAGTGAAAGATAGGTGAAGGATAGGTGAAGGATAGGTGAAAGCGGGAGTTTGCGGCAGAGCTGACCAGAGATTCGGGAACATGGGTTGAACTTGGGGATGTTTTGCCAGGCATGGGGGATTAGGTCAGGGGTATCCCTAGGTTGCCCATGACTTGGGGAGAAGTTTGGCAACATCTCTGGTTGATCGGTGTATGTCAGTGGCTTGAGGACATGGTGCTTCTGAATGACTCCTTGCAGCCGGATCCTGAGATGCCGGAAATAGGCATCAGGTATCATGATCAAAGGAGCTTGACTAACAACATAATATGCATATCATATGCATATCTTCCATCCGGTAATCAAAGGTGGTTTGCTGGAAATTCACCCATTTATAGATCATTTGCTCACATAACACCTCCATTTCAGTAGGGGATTTCCGATTGCAGTCATCGCCACATGCGGGCCCAAGCCCTCAAGGAGGTGGTTGTTGATTGCTCTGACATGTGAGAGGGAAATATGAATGATTAAGATCCACATGAACTGAATCAGTTAGATATGTAATATGTATATATATATACAGTATATATATACTGTGTATATAGATATAGGCTCAAGGCTGGGGGTTCCCCGGAGCTTCGAGGAACCCTCAGTCTTGATGCTATACCATAAAGGTCGTTCTTGTATAGAGATGGGGGGTGGGGGGGTGGGGGTGGGGGGGTGTGTAATAACTTCATGTGAAGTGCGTTGGATGATGTTGAATCCTGGAAGATGTTGCTTGGTTGGAAGATGGTGTTACGTTGAAAGTTTCGTTGTTGTTTACAGAAGGGGGGTGAGGGGTGTGTAATAACGTCATGTGAAGTGCGTTGGGTGATGTTGAATCCTGGAAGATGTTGCTTGGTTGGAAGATGGTGTTGCGTTGAAAGTTTCGTTGTTGTTTACAGAAGGGGGGTGGGGGGGTGTAATAACGTCATGTGAAAAACATAAAACACTGTAAAACACAGTGTGAAAACAACATTTTCCATCGCCATCAAAAAAAACATCATGGACGCGCAGACAAAAAAGATGTGATGTTCATTTCGTCCATGGTTCTCCAGTGAATTATCACATGTTCTACTTATCAACAGAACAACCAAAAATGCATGAAACCGCACTTCCAATGGTTAGCATGTTCCACACATCTTTAGTCATCCATGGAAGATCTAAATTTATCCTGTTTCGGCGCGGACAAACGTCAAGTTCTTCCGCGATGAAAATGGAACTTCGATTGATCAAACAAATTCAGAGAAAAACATAAAACACTGTAAAACACAGTGTGAAAACAACACTTTCCATCACCATGCCAAAAAAAAGGTTTGTGGACGCGAAGATGAAAAGATGTGATGTTCATTTCGTCCATGGTTCTCCAGTGAATTATGACATTTTGTACTTATCAACAAAAACTCAAAACATGCATGAAACCGCAATTCCAATGGGAAAAATGTTGCACACATTTTTGGCCATCCATGGAAGATGTAAATTTATCATTTTTCTGCGCGGACAAACTCCGAGTTTATCCGCGCCGACATTGATACTTTCACTGATGGAACACTTTGAAGGAAAGGCAAAAAACACTGTAAAATACAGTGTAAAATCAACATTTTGCAGATCCATACAAATAAATTGCAATTGGCTTCCGGGGAACCCCCAGCCTTCGCCCTAGATATATATATATATATACTGTGTATATATATATACTGTATATATACATATATACTGTATATCTATATATATATATGTGTGTTTTATGGATGTGCATCCGCTATGTACTCCAAAAATCTCAAAGGTTGGCATCCGCTCCAACCAGACATCAGCTCCTCAAGGTTGGCCCACAAGTGCATTCTCAACTCTTTCTACGGCTACGTCATGCGAAAGGTGGCTTCGGACGCCATGAAACAGAGTGTTTTTTCCAAATCCCAGTGGAGTTGCTGGTAGATATCTCCAATGACAACAAGACAAATTTTGGCGAATATCAATGAATATCATATATCAAGCCACGAATCCAATGGTTGGCTTGGGGCTTCTAAATGCATGTCTTGATTCTTGGATGTTTCATGCCTGGAAAATGCTACCATGTCCATAGGAAACGACCATTGTTTCAGCTCTTTGGGTTACTCTTTGTCCAGAGAAAATTACATTGTGATGGCTCATTTCCCAAGGTATATGTTTGTATGTTGGATCCACATATGGTGTAAATCGCAGTTTTGCGTTGCTAAATATAAAAGTCCCAATTTCGGTGGTTCAGCTCCCAATCATTGTGCCGGCTCAGACGGCATATGATTACATAGCTATTTCTCAAGTGTTGTGACTTCATTAATCCCATTCTGTGTCGCTTAAGTCACGGTTTTTGGGCTCAAGATATGGGTTTGTCTGAAAATATCGCACCACAGATTCCAATAGACTCTCATGATTTTCCCATTTCAAGACATTGAAATTTGTTTTTTGTGGGATTCCCCTATTGCCAGGCCAAAAAACATAAGGAGGTTTCCTAAAATGGGGGTGCCCCAAAACCGTGGCTTTCAATACTTAAATGGTCTAATTTAGGATGCTTTGGGGATATCTCTATTTTAGAAAGAAAACCGCCAGATGGATCCATCGTGAATGCCAGGGAGCTCGCTGGCATTCCATGAAGATGGCTGGCATCGCTCGGCACCTCAGGAAGTTGATAAATCTGGGATGGATTGGTTTTGGATTAGCTATGGATAGGTTAGTTTGTTTGCCATGGACTTGTGGATTTGTTACCCTCTGGTAAACTAACATAACTATGGAAAATCACCATTTTTAATGGGAAAACTCACTATAAATGGCCATTTTCAATAGCTATGTTAGTCATTACCAGAGGGTACTTGGATTGGTTTTGGACTATGGCAAATGGCTAATCAGAATCGTTGGATGGACTAACTGACTAACTGGGTGCCTGTAGTCAATGGTCAACTGGATGCATTCTTCCTTAAAGTCCCTCAATCTTGGATGTTTCTGCTGCCCAAAATGCATGATGTTTGATATTACTCCACAACAAAAAGATATTACTCCACTCAACTAGACTTGACCAGTCACTTGGGAATAGTTCAAAACATTGCAAAAGCCTATGAATTAACATATTTGAAGGGGTTGAACATCCATTGACCAGCTACCTTGGTGTGATCTCTTAAGTGTACCAGTCTGAACTGACCCATAGTTCATCAGAAAACCAAATGACTTGCAACATTGGAGATGTTCAACACCAAAATAGGGATGTAAGCTTCAAGGCATTGAAGCAATGAAGATGGGGTTGCCTGAATAAGAATCATTTGAACGGGTCAAGACTTGGAGATCCATAAATCGTGGTGTTATTTTCAACCCTATGTGGGATGATCGGCGTGTATTTCTCCATGAATCCAACCTGGCAGAACCAGGCCATCCCCAAGATTGCTATGTTCGGATCTTCAATAAAAAAAAGAGGCCCCCAAGCAGAAGATGCCGAAACAACACATGGCTGTCTGTTAGATTCGGATTTGACGGCGGTCTATCTTTTTTGGGGGCTGCTATAGTTATAAGTTATAAGTTATGTCTACCATAAACCCGAGTTATAACATGTTATAACATGTTGTAACCTTCCATTTGCGGGTTGCAGGTGACCTACACGGGGGCCAACCTCATCCGAGAGGCTCAGTGTTCAGTTGACCCTGGTTGGTTGATCCATTTTTTATCGGGGATATTCGGGGATTATTAAGTGGTTGAATTGGGGAGTTATTATGGAAATTGGGATGATAATAACTCCCCAATATGGTTGGTAATTCTATTGAATCCATGAATTGGGAAATCCTATCAACCAACCAGTATGACATAGTATGAAGGGAAGACACAGCCACTGCACGCGCTGAAGTCAAGAAAAACTGATTTGGTGCCCTACATCTATATAGATGTAAACGGGGCACATATCATCCGATGTTGCTTACTCCGGCCTAGTTATGAGCACTTGCAACCCATCTATGTTTGGTAGGAGCCATCCTTGCATGTGACACCTTCTTTTCAGACTCAACCCAGGTTGGTCAGAATACACCAGGCACATCCAGGCACCAAAGATACCCACAGCACGTGCGCTACGCCCCACATATACTTCACTATATACACTTTCATACCCTTTTTTTTCAGGGTTTCTTCAGAGTTTCTTTAGGGTTCATTTAGGGTTTTCCCTAGGGTTTTTCCGAATTCCTGAGGTTTTTCTAGGTTCTTTTTAGGGGATGGTTTATGGTTTATGTAAAAAGTGCTGAAAACCAGGATTGCCGGACAGCAGATTCCCTGCACAGGGTCATCAAACACGTCCCTGGTTCGCAAAGCCAGGGACATCAAGTTAGAATCAGTTAGAACATCTCAACATAGGTTCCCGACGATCATCCAAAAGAGTTTGGGGCATAGCACAAGTGCTGGCCGCAAAGATACACAGGGTCATGATTGTCACGGCAACACCATTCAGCATAAGTGATACGTTCAATCAACCACAAATATATAGTGATTGTATAACCAGGTAGAGGCTCGTGCAGTTACAAGGATGTTGTGTAGATTGCACCCATTGAGTTCCATTCTGTCACAAAGATAAGCAGGCTGTGCCAATGGATACTTTGAATAGAAGGCTTGTTCTGAGGAGGGGAGCGATGATGATTCTTAAACCACTAGGTTGCTGGAGCCTACTTTCAGACAAAACCATGTTCAGACATCATCTCAAAACTTACTGGTGAGTAGTAGGGTGAACTCACCACAAGACCACACTACATCCCAATAGAAACCTTCAAGTTGGCTAGCTACATTCCATGACCAAAACAATGAATCATGGAAATCACACCTTCGTTGAAATCCCATTCAATTCCCATTAAATCCCATTAGATTCTCATTAAATCCTGTTAAATTTCCATGGAATCCCGTGGAATCCATTTAAATCCTATTAAAACCCATGAATTTTGCCAGTGAAGACCAGGCTCGGGAGTTCTGCGAGCAAGTGGGTCTTCCCCTGGAGCTGGACACCGACGGCATCTGGTGCCATGACTTGCAGATGTTGCTTCAGAACCAACAGAAGTCAGAATTTAGGTTGATATTGATATATTATATGATATGTGTATAGTATTATATATATACGTATATATAATACGTACACAATCTATATATATATATATGTATAGTATAATATTACATAATATGATATTATGTAATATATTATAATGTAATATATCTCCACTATATTTAATATATATTTAATATTATAGATAGATATATATATATATACATTATACAATTAGTTGACTGGGTGTCCCAACTTCTATTTGGGGGCGCACCTGGTGAACAGACGAGAGAGCGTCAAGCTGTGCCCCCCCCAGTGATGTTTGTTCATAAACCATAGTAACTACAGTAGTTTGATTGACATCTACCATAAACCCAACTAAAGTAGTTATATCTAGTTACTATGGTTTATGAAACTAGTTTATATATGGTTTATAACTATAGCCATCGCCATAAACATCCACCCAAACGTGAAATCGAAGTTATCACTTAGCTACCTGGGGCACCTGGGCTTGACAGGTGCCTCTTGCCCAAGAGCTTTCCGGACACCTTCAAGATTAAGATGACCCTTCGTTGACGAGGGATGTGGAACATGGGAATCATTTGAAGCAGCTCTCAGCTGGGGTTGTACGACAGATGAACAGTGGTCCACCGGAATCCCATCACAAACTCAACACTTGGCAAACTTTCAACACAAGTTCGTCTATTTGCATGACAATCCTTATTAGAATGATCAAACAGGAACAAAATAAAAAAAACATACCCCACTTGCGGTGGAGTCACTCAAACAGAGCAGTGACATGCAGCAAGACCAATTCCGAGCAGGGCTGAGTCACCACCAAGTAGATCTGGTACGATATGACGGCGTGAAAAGAGCATAGCACGTCAAAGGGCTCCCCTCCAAATACCCAAAAAAGTTGCAAGAGTACTAAGATTGTGGGGTAAAACATATTTTTAAGGGTACTTGGAGGATACATTAGTAATAGTATATACACACATTATTTACATAATATATCAGTATGGATATGCATACACATTCAGTATACACAGTATGTACTCTATATGGTATATATATATATATGTGCACACACACCAATGTGTCTATCTATCTATCGATGGATCGATCGATCGATCGATCTATCTATTTGTCTATCCATCTATCTATCTACCTATCTAATCTATCTATCTATCTATCTATCTGCCTACCTATCTATCTATCTATCTACCTACCTACCTACCTATCTAATCTATCTACCTACCTATCTATCTATCTATTTATCTATCTATCTATCTATCTATTTATCTATCTATCTATCTATCTATCTTTCTTATCTACCTACCTACCTACCTACCTATCTAATCTATCTATCTATCTATCTATCTGCCTACCTATCTATCTATCTATTTATCTATCTATCTATCTATCTATCTATCTATCTGCCTACCTATCTATCTATCTATCTATCTATTTATCTATCTATCTATCTATCTATCTATCTATCTTTTCTATCTCATCTATCTCATTTATCTCATCTATCTCATCTATCTCATCTATCTCATCTATCTCATCTATCTATCAAACTGTGTATCTAGCTGTCTACCTATCTACATATCTATCTATCTATCCATCCATCTATCGATCTATCTATATCTATCTATCTGTCTATCTATCTATCTATCTATATCTACCTATGGGGATATTCCAAATATGACTGGATCACGAGCTGGGATGGAACACCTTTCTATCCCAGCTTTCCTCACCAGGAAAGGTGGCAAGGAGGCGACGCTGGAAGCGGCTGAGAAAACGGGGGGTGGTCACGGGTCACGGCTTCAGCGAGGGACAAGTAGAGATTATACTGAAAGAATCCAACAAAGGGATATGGAAACGTTATGGAAATGTTATGGAAATCTATGGAAATGTTATGGAAACGTTATGGAAATGTTATGGAAATCTATGGGAATTCAATGGAAATCTATGAACATGTTATGGACATCTATGGAAATGTTAAGGACATCTATGGAATGTATGGAAATGTTATGGACATCTATGGAATTGTTATGGAAATGCTTTGGACATGTTGTGGAAATGTTCTGGAAATGCTATGGACATGTTATGGACATGTTATGGAAATGCTATGGGAATGTTTTGGATATCTGTGGACATGTTCTGGAAATATATGGAAATGTTATGGGAATGGTATGGGAATGTGGAAATCTATGGAAATGTTATGGAAATCTATGGACATGTTTTGGAAATGTATGGAAATGTATGAACACAAAGGAGATCTAAGAAGCCCCAGAACAGGGTTTCACAAAATTCACCAACAAAAACCTGTTATTTCAGCATGAACAGATTTGGAATTGCCCAAATGCAGACAGCGTTGAACAAAGCTGGGGATTTCACTGTCACTTATTTTTGTTTAATCTAATATATATATATATATTATATTAGGCATACAGATAAATATCCCCAGATGACAAACCTTGACCTGGAGGCCTTTTTTGGAATGGGGGGGTTGCCCCTATGATGTTCACCGCTTTGCAGCCGCTACCAATCATTTTGCTATATATATATACACAATACATTATATATATATGCATTAATTATGTATGTGTTATACATGTATCATATATATATATATGTATATATGTATGTATGTATACTTAGATACATTAATGTATAGAATACACATGTATCCACTATGCATTATTGATCCATCCTTTGCTCCTGCCGCATCGCCAGATCAAAATGCCATATCCCAACTGCGTGTTGAACTATCGCGTGCACCAAAAGTACACCAACCACCAATACCAAGATTGGTGCCTTGACAGTTGACAGGTGACGCTGAGACACAGATGTGGTTTGTGCCCCGTAGTTTGTTTGCTTAAGTTGTTTTGGAAAAAATGTGGTACATCCAATAATGCAACTACCATTTAAAGGGATGGTTTATACCACCCATAAAACAATGATGACGTTAGGGATGGCTTATTGTTGAGTTTACCACATTGCTAGATAACTTGGTTTTGTGATTCTGGTATATCTATAGTTGACCGGTTTTGTAAAGCAACATTTTTTTGGGGCACCACCTTGTTACAAGATTTTTCAGGGCCTCACACGCACAAATGCATCGGGGTGGAGCTCCACATGGATCATGATGGCTGGAGTCGTGCTTCCAGGATCCAATTGCATGGCCCGGGTACACATCCGAATTTGCCTCAGTAAACTCTCACATGTCAACATGGAAAAAAAATACTAAAAGTTTCTTGTTATCACGTAAAGCCAGGTACCGATAAAAAGCTGGAGCAAGAAAAAACCTGGGGGAAACACACATTTTGGTAATTACCAATGAGTTTCCTGTAAGTCGGGTTCACCCAGGCACTTCCAAATCGTTGGAAAGCCTGCACTCACCGAGGGACAATGAGACCAAGAGCTGGAAGACTTCCAGCCAAAATTCCATCCTCTTCGAGATTGATGGACCCTACAAGGTTCGCGATCACCAGAAAAACCCAAGGGTTCGGATAGATAAATAACACATCAAACTTAAAGATCCATGAACGAATCTTAATGCGACCAAACAACTCAAATGCCTCAGGGGTGACCGGAGATATGGATATGAGTCCAATCCAATGGTTGTACCCCTCACTCCATATTCCAGATGATGGTCATTGTGGCTTTGACAATGCTGGAGTCCCATGTGTTTGCACCCAGACCAAAAAAGAGGATGCAGTAAACAATTCCCGTCTCTGAAGCGCTGAGCTTTTCTGTGTTTTTGTATTGACCCAAAACCTTGCAGCCGGGATATTGTCATGTATATATATATATATAATTATGTTCATAGACTCCAGCTGTATTTTACTATTTCCCTGAACGTTAGCTATTTTTGCGGCTCACATTTTACCTAATCAATCCATCCCAATCCATGTTTTTACCCAGGGTATCCCAGGAGTCGTTGGGATTTTCTGGCCTATTGGAACAGCCTAACAGCTGGAACGTGCTGCGACTCCTGAAGGAGGATGTCTACGGCCAGGGGTGGCTTACCCTGGCCATGGATTTCTCAGGAACCTCTGGAAACCTCTGTGCCTCGCGCTTCACCATCCTGGCGGTCACTGCGCGTTGGTGGAGCGCATAAAAAGTCTGGAGCAACCGAGCAGTTCGAAGATATCCTCTGTAGAAGAGGGGTCCGACTTTACCTGTGGGCACGCTACATTTTATGGGAATAGCTGGATACCCCAATCTCCCTCTTGATTTATTCACGGCCTAAGGATTTTTAAGACTCAGATGATCTAGGTGAATTATAAATCCTCAGCCGTTCTTGTCACCTGAGATGCCACAGGCATTGGTTGTAGCATTGTAGCCGTTGTAGCCCCAAAATCACCAAATGTTTCAGAGCGAAGCATCATTATGATTCAGTTAAATCTATGTCCCAGACCATCGGGGAATCATCGGCGTGCAGGTTACCCTCTGGCCATTTCACATTGCAATGCCTGTTTTTAATTAGCTACATCGTCTACAAACTATGTGATTTGTTCATGATTTCTCCGCACGCTATGTTTGATTGCGACAAGGTGCTTGATAGTTCATCCCACTATAACTGGTTGGTGGTTTGGAACATGTTTTATTTTTCCATATATTGGGAATATATAATCATCCCAACTGACGAAATCATATTTTTCAGAGGGGTAGGCCAACCACCAACCAGATAAGGATTAAAATGTCGTTGGTCCACGTGGAAAAGGCGGGTAGAATCATTTGAAGTGACTAGTAGGAATGACGATACTTGGATGTGCATCCTAGCTACTTACTGGCATGATATATATATATATATATAGAAGTTTTGTTTACCCAACTACTAATGATTAATGGGGTGCTTATTAATGAGGAATGGGATATATTATATAAGCTTTGTTTTACCCAATTATTAATGAGTTATGCGTGGATTATTGATCACTTCCTAACTCGGATGATCCTCCTAAACCGATTCTTGGAATGGTTAAATCCTCATCAGTAACTGCTTCATGATGGCGTCAGAAGTGTCACTTTTAAGACAACCCCCCGTGTCCGATGGCAGTCACCACCTGCCGCGAGGCCATGATTCTGCCCGCCAGTACAGAGGACGGGGGGATGCTACTCTTGGGGATGATCAAAGCTTTGGAACAAAATTCAACATAGCTATTGAAGATGGATATTTATAGTGGATTTACCCATTAAAAATGTTGATTTTCCATAGTTATGTTAGTTTACCAGAGGGTACCCTCCTGTTCACAACAACTGGTTGCCGTTAAAGAGATATTCATCCTCACAGTCGTATTGCGTTCGTAGGGTTTAACCCATACCCATATCCTTACTTGGAACCAATTGGACACTGAATTGTGGTAGAAGAGTTCAATTGGCAGCTCCTATTTCTGGGCCAGGTCCTTTTTACTTCTGACATCGTTTGTATGATATGATGTTGCATCGTTCATCGTCGAGGGCGCTGAAATCAAAGGACTTAAGAGGAAAACTCACCAAGCAACCAACCAAGCCACCCTTATTACTCACCGGTTTGCAAACCACATCGCTGATAAGTACCTATCCATGTATGCTGGTTATAGTCAGTGTCCTATTATGAAGTCTGACTGTAGGTCCCATCACCGCCATGACCCTTTTGGTTTGTTTAAGAAACCAAGTTCTTTCCACCCTCTGGTATTATCAAACATGGCAATGTACAATCCCCATTTACTTCAATGATTTTCCCTTATGTTCTTTTTTTAGGGTGTTTCCATGTATTTCCCCAATTTACACTGAAATCCAACCAGACAAATCATGTTGGACATCCTCCATGTAAAAAAAAACAACAACTTCACAACTGGCTCCAGTCGTCCATGGCGTCATCCTCCATCGACGCAGGAAGACAAAATGCTCAAAAAACGCTATGCCGTCTACAACTTCGATGGGCCGCTGGGTCACAAACAAACACCATCAGGGGAAATTCAGGCCTAGCCGCGAGACCGGTCCGGATTCGATAGCAAAACCGTTGGTTTTGAAACATGGGATTTTCATGAACACTGCCGCATGATTGATCCATTCTTGCAATAGATTCAATAGATGTACACATCATTTGGATGCATTGAAGTCTTAATGCATGTGTGTGTGTGTGTTCTTAAATACCTTTGGGGTCTCCATTGCTGCTCATATTTTTTATGTTGTTCTTTAATGTTGTATATCCGCAACTGCCGCAACTCTGGTAGATATCCACCTGGCGACCGCCACTTCCACCCCAAAGTTTTCCCAGAGTATTCTGATCGTCCCGTGAATTGCAGTGACGGTTGTTTGAGCCATATCATATTGTCATATTGTCATCTTAAAGTTTGGTAAACATCCCCAAACATCCCAAAATATGGCTTTGAGAACATGTAGCTTCCCAGATCATCCCAAATTGGTCGGGGAAACCGATGGTGAATTGGGGGACTCCCATCCCCCGGTCATAAAAAGTGGGAGACTCACAGAGATTTCGGACCATGGAAGGGGGCATTTAATATGAACGGGGATGCGATTCTGGAAAAGCCCCAAAAAAGCGATATATGCACGACAAATCCAGCAAAATGATTGTCGCTATAAACCTACCGTTTCGCAAGTCTGAGAAACAGCCAATGTTAATAGGTTGACGTTTCGAATCTAGCCGTGGGGCCCGAACCTTCCAGTGTGGGTGCGGCTGCCCACGCTGATCTCGGGCAGGTTTGTGCGACTTGCATCGCCATGGCCAGGTTGTTCCCCATGGATTGGGGCTCCATCGACAACGGTTCCAAGATCGACCTTTTGTGCAGGACTGTGGTGTTCGACATTGACCATGATCTGCATATCATGGAGCTTCTCCATAACCATTGCAGATTCCATTTGACTGGGTTGTTAGAAGCTGGATATGAATCCTACTCCATTTTCGATGCCACTTTGGTTGCCCAATTTCCTGTGCCGCATGTTAGCCTTGGTCCTTTGAGCTGCATCCTTGGGCACAAGGAAATTACGTGGGATAGCCTTTTCTCAGTGGTGGACATGTGCAGTGGGTTTGGAGGTTTTTCGCAAGGTTTGTTGCCATGTGGTTTTCACTCAACAGTTGCCGTGGACCATAATCAACACATGCTGGAACAGTTTAAATGTGCTTCCAACACCCCAACCATTTTGGGTGACGTTGGCTCCAAAACTGTTATCAAAGAAGTGTGGCAGGTATCCCAGGGTGCAAAAACAATGACAGGAGGCTTCAGCTGCCAGCCCTTCTCGTCCCTAGGGGACGGTAGAGGATCTGAGGATCCGAGATCAAGCTGCCTGTCGAAACTTTTGTATGCTGCCTATTTCTTGAGAATTCATGTTTTGGTGTTAGAATGTGTTGCACCAGCATCACAAGACCCCTTTGTGCGTGCAGAATTGGACCATTTTTGTCAAATCACTGGTTTCCATTGTTCGCAAAGAACCATGAAGCTTGACCAAGTGTGGCCAACTAAGCGAGCCCGCTCATGGTGGTTGCTGACATCTCCCAGTGTTGGCCCAGTTGTGATTCCCGAGTTTTCCTGTCAGATGCCGATTTCCTCTATTGAACAGCTGATCCCTGAGATTGTCCAGTGGGATTTAGATGATGAAAAGATTTTGGCATTATCTGAGACCGAAGCTGCAGCGTTTGGTGGAACAGAAGGGAATTTTTCTCAGTATCTCATGAACATCAAAGGCACCTCACCATGTGCTTTACATGCTTGGGGAAACCAATTGACAGCTTGCCCGTGCGGATGCAGACTTTTCGGACTCTCATCACGTAGACTTGCTGAAAAAGGGTTGTTTGGGCTTCTCGTTTTCAGTGCAGCTGATTGCAATGGGATTGTTAGGATCCGACATGTGCATCCAAGTGAAGCAATGGCGTTGAATGGGATCGATCCCACCATCGACTTTGGTAGACAGCCACGACTCACACTGTGTGCAATTGGGCAGCTGGCCAGCCCTCTCCAGGTCCTGTGGGTAATGTCAGCGTTAGGCTCACACTTTGATGAAATCCGCTTTGGGAAGTCAAGGTTTTCGGCAGAAATGCAACTGCATGCATACATGTCGTGGATGATCATGAGATGCAATTTGATTTGGCCTTCCTTTGAAAAGCCATTGATTGACGAAAAGCTGGCTACACTTGTCCAGTGCTGGAACCAAGTCCAACACTTGTCTCTCAGTGAATTGATGTATCCACCAAGATGGGAAGCCAGACTTGAATTGCCAGTCACACTTGCAGCCATTTTGGACCTGCTCTTCAGAGAAATGCAAAGCACGCCGGTGCTTTCACAAGCTTTGCCAGATTGTGACATGTCAGAACCCGAAACGCCATGGCTTGACACTCCGACCATTTGCACTGACCCTGAGGCCTCAGTAGGAATAGCTGCTGAGTTTTGCACAGTGATTTTTGACGGTGATGTACAGGCCCCAGTGATGCTCTCTCCTTTGGTTGGAACCACGCTGCAGGATCTTTTGACAGCCCATGACAAACTTGTAGGCCCTGCTGACTTCAGCCAGTGTGTGAATGCCGATGGAGAGACTTTGCCGCTCTCTCATGTGTTGGAAGTTGGACAGATCATTTACGTAAAGGGATTATCCTGCGTAGATCGTGTGCCTGAGACCGCCCCGGTCACAAGTGATGTTGTGAGAACATTGCAACCCACTCAGATTGACCCAATTGTCTCACCCACCATGACATGGAGTCAACAGATTGAAACGCCAGCCCTCATGAAACCCTCCATTTTTGACATTGGAGAATGCACAACTTCGCCTGCTGACCCGCAACCAGGTTGGCTTTGTGCGGAACCGCTGCTTGGACTCCAAGGTGACCAATTTCTGATGCTGTCTGCACCGCTTGTTAGCAACACGCAGCAACTTTGGTCCATCAGGCATCAGTTCTTGAAAGTACAAGATCGACTTGACATTTTGCAACACCAAGGGAACATTTTTTCAGATGATGAAATCCGTTTCCATTTGTTTGCGCTGACTCAGAAATTTATGGAAGTCCAAGTCAAGTTTTCAAAAGATCCTGTCAAACAACTGGTGACGATTGACCCCATCCTCACCACTGCATGGATGCTTGACAAAGCTTTCTCATGTGAAGATTGGGGCAATGACCATGGCTACATTTTCCAGCACTCCCTGCCCATTGCTACTGTTTTCCTGGTTGGTAACCATTGGGTACCGGTGTCAATGCACCCTGTTGGAGACAAATTGAATGTTTTCGTTTGGGATGCAGATGGTGGTGACCATATCAAACTCAACTCGGTCATTGAGCAAATTGGCCTTTCAATAGGGTTCTTGACGGTGGTTATCCAAAGAGACAGACGAATGTTTCTCACATCAGAATTGTGTGGCACCCTGGCAATTGCGTACCTCCACAGTACCCTTTTGCATGCCCAGTTGCCCACGACACATGAAGAGACCCAACAAAGATTTCAGCTGCTTCGTGAGCAATTCGTCCTTTCCATTTCCACGTGTGACATCACCAAAAGGCCATGGATTTGGGGTAAAGGGGACACTGGTGCTGACGCTGACTCTACGGAGTCTATCTTCCAAAACATGCCTCCAGTCCCCACCATGTTGACCAGAGAGCAGCGAACAGAGCAGATTGTAGAGCATCGGACTGCAGTTGCAGATGATGAAATCAGGTTTCACCTTCAGCACATTTTGAGCCGGTACGAACAACTCAATGACAGGAGAGGAATTGCCAATGCACGACGTTTTGTCTGGCTTGAACCTCTTGTGTATACATGTTGGGAATCCATTGGAAGAACCATTTCAGCCCGATGGTGTGAGAGACACACTGAAGTCAGATCGGACGGAGTTCAAATTGTGACAGCCTTTTTGCTTGATGAGCATTGGTTTCCATTTTGGATTGAACCGAGGGATGACTGTGTGACATTCCACACTATTGCCCATGAAACCATTGATGCCCATAAGTTTCGTGATGTTTGTGCTTGCATAGGCCACCAACTTGGGTTCCCCTTGTTTGCGTTGCATGTGTTCCCAAACAATCTGCCACCTCACGACAAATGTGGCACACAGGCCATGATGTTCCTGGCTCACGTGATTCATGGGGCAAGACTGCCTGACACTATCCAAGAACTTAACACTTTGCATGCCAACATGAGAGCTGTTTTTGTTGAGGATTTGTTTGCCAAGAGAGAAGTGCCTGCTCCTGTGATTTGGGGCAATGGTACCTTCAGCGGGAAATCAGGGCCACTCCCTATAATGCCCTGCGTGTGTCCTTTAGTGGCACCAGTCCATTTTGCAGACGATCCTGACTCCTGCCATGAGCTTCTGATGACCAAGTTTGACTGGCCTGCGGTCCACCGACTGTTTGCATGGAACACAGGCCACCTGAGCCACATTGTGATGCCAGATGTGCCTCTTTTGGCGCACCGCCCCGAGCACGAAGTTTGCCCCTCACATGCGTTTGATGCTTTGGAGCTCACTTTTCATGTTTCCAGACTACAGGCTGCAACCAGGCTGACTGATGGAAGTGACAACTTGTCGCTTGTCCAGGTCTTGCCAAGTTTGGAGGAATTTGACAATTTTGCTGAAGGATTCCACAAAGGCTCTGACAATGCAATGGTGCATGTTGTGCTTGTAAATTGTCACTGGATCCCAATTGTTTGTTTGTGCAGCAATTTCACCACCCGAATTTTTGTGCCAGCCGAGGCCGCCATGACGGTAGCCAATCACATGTCTGATCGACCGCAGTTTGTTGTTGTCGGAGTTGGTGAATCGTGCACCCACAACATGTGTGGAGCCATGACGCTGGATATCCTTGCCCTTTTGTTCTGCGGTACCCCAACTGCAACGAGCATTGATGAGCTTGAATGTCGCCATTTGCATTGGAAACATGAATACAACATTGGGGGTTTTTCGTGCCCATTGACTGGAGTTTACGGCTTTGGCCCTCAGGGTACTCTGACGAGTGCGCTTGCCACTGAACTCATAAAGCATGGTGT